GTCTGTAAAATTGAATATAACAAATTACAAAATATTAATTTTCATTTTTTAAAATTATTTTTCTTTCACAATTTCAGTTTTACAATTTCAATATTTTTTCTTTCTTTGTTTTCCTAATAATTTTTACAAGGTGAAAAAAATATTGGCGAAAATAAGTTGCTCTGTTACTATGGAAACGCTCTAACAAAATTAATTTTAAGAAGCAGTAAGTTGTTATTATACCTTGTATTAGGATTAGCGGAGCTATCTGATCCGACAATACACTAAATTTCCTAGTTCTGCTGCTGTGAACATACCATTTAATCTATCTGACAGTCGAGTTTTTATTCTTCAGAGTAAGTGAAAAAATTTTAATAGAAATTTATAAATTTGTATCTTTGGAACTGGCAACTAATTTGATTTGAAATTTTGACATCAATTTGGACGGCAGGTGTCGGATGTTGTCGTGGAATCATACAACGCAGGATTTGCTACGTGTCAACTCATTGAAAATGTAGACGGGATATTTTCTATCGATAATTGCGCATTCCATGATATTCCTTTCAGCATACGCTGAGATTTACTAAACCAACTTTCGATGATTTCAACCATTTAGGTTACTTTTGAAATTTTTATCTTTATATCTGACAAATATTGTGAAATCGAAGAGTGAGAATTACATCATGGATGAAGAAAGCTGAAGATTTCATTTCAAACCAAAACAAAACCTAATGGCAAATAAAGACCACATATTTTAAGCTGCGATGGCGATGTCCAGAGCAACCAGTTTCTTCCGATTTCCCAGGCAGTTGAACGCTACTAATTTGCTTGAATTAGCTGTTAACTTGCTTTCCTGATATTATTCATTGATCTCTCAATTTTTTGAATTATAATTTGAAAACACCATTCTAGTATTTGAAGAAAATTTATCTTTTCTCTCAAATTATTTTAATCTGCTAGATGTGAGATTAAAAAATAACTTTTGCGATAGTTAACTTTAATACTTTTTGTGATTAGTATAAGTGTACTGTGATGATGTATAAGAAGCCTGGTAATAATGTACTTCGCGTTTTATGTGTGAAAGAGCGATATTTGTAAATTTTTTCAAGACAGCATGAGAATCATTGCATTAACTTAGATGTGATATAATATACTTGCAAGGACATCTGATTCTGATAATTATCAATGTTTCATGGTGGCATTTTGTTCATCCCTTTATTGGCCGTTTGTTGATTGATGCTTATTGTTGTTTTTTAAAACTTTTATGAACTTTGTTATTTATTGTATGATGCTATTTTATTTGTTATTTCATAACCGTAACAATCATCGGTTCTCAAGAATGAACCAAAATTAAAAATTTTCATCAACCTTTTTTGCAAAATTTTTGTGTCCTGCAATAGTTCGTCAAATGTTGAAGTCCCTCTACATTAAAGAGAAAGCAGAGTTGTTTTTAAAAAGTGGTGGAATTTTTTGTTACATCAACGATGTAATGTAATAATCTATTAATAATGTTTTATGGGCACAGGTTGTGAATGAATATGACACTCTTTGAAATTCGATTAATGTAAAAATAAAATAAAAATCCATTAAGCGGTGTGCATGAAATATTATTAACATTTAATACTTCGGAGCTTTGTTTATCATATGGATTTGAGATAACTTGAAGTAAAAAAAGATAAGAAATGATAAGATCAAAAAGGAAAATTAAGATGCGAATAAAATGAGATTAAATAGCACATAATGCCGAGAAAAAGATTCTGAAGTTTTAAATGGCTATTAGTAAACTGTCGAAAAGTATCAAATGAAATTATAAATGTAAAATTGGAAATTAATACTTTTCTAGCAGAAAAAGTGATCAAAAAGTGATCATAGCAATATTGCATCAACGAAAATCGTATAAACCTGATAAATTACACAAGGGCTTTTGATTAATCATTGAGCGTAATGAACAGCTTCAGCTACAGCACAACAGATCCGATAACTGGAATCAGCTGAAAAGAAGCATTCACTTCCTTCTGGACATCGAAATGGTTGCCAAATTTCCGTTTCACTACCACAAGCAATCACTAAATTGTATCGATCACGAATTGCTATCTCTTTTGTGCAGAAGGTTAATACTGCAAATGTCATGTGATGATTACAAATTAGTCGTGATTATGTCGAAAACTTTCAACAGAGATTTGTGGCATCCGCATTATTCTTTTCAATGAAATGTTCATTAATGCTTATTCATCGCGCTTGCTCCCTTCCTTTTCATATTAAACAACCGGAAAAAAATTCAAATCTCAAATCGACCTTTTTCTGTTTGAGTTCGCCGTTTCGGCGGTGGTGTACGATAGAATTTCGCTGGATTATAAGCATTTTCTAAAGTCTTTTCAGTATGATTAAAGTTCTGAAATATTCAAAAGTTTGACATGAAGATTGCGATTGTAATTACAATTTGAAGTTGATGCTATATCACGAAGAGAAAAAATTATTCATAGTGGCTTGAAAGCACTTCAGTTTTAGATTTCCATAAAACTGATTCAAATTAAAAGGAAAATGGATTTTTTAATAGGAACGAAATTAAGATGTGACAAGATATTTGACCGTTGCAGGAAATTTCAAATCATCTTGTTCACTTGATACTGTGGAGAGTGGTTTCACAGAAGATAAATTGTACGTATCCGTTGGGATTAAATTAATCTTATCATCATTCATTGGCAACAATTTCTTGCTGATATCTGAAATACGTAAATTAAACTTCGAGATACAACTTTAAGATTACTGCTCTATGCTCAATAAGACATCTCTATGGTAAGAAAACGAAGCTGGAAGTTCAAGATAAAGAATGTTAAAAGTATTGTAAATCGAATCACTGCTTTCAATAAACAAAATGGCTGGTAATTTCACGAACAAGCAATATCTTCTGCGCAGAAGTACTTGCTTCATCTTTTTCTGAATATCATTCTCAAGAGAAAGGGTATCTACAGGTGTTGGATCTGACCTTCACAAATCTTAACAAAATCTTCAAATCAGAAACTAGTTTTCGTTGTTCATGCAATAAGTAGTTTGACCATTGTCCAATTAAAGTGTTTTTCTAGGGTTCAGAGTTAAGTTTATATTTTAGAATGAGTTCCGTTCAAAGTCAACCAAATTCTGTACACAACACTCAAATTCACTTGCACTACTATAATAAAGAAAATACCATGAGAAGTTTAAATATCACAGGTCCCTCCTTCACCTCATGTAATGAAAGAGAAGAACTGCGCTTTGTCATATTAATATCCAAAAATGCATATCCAAAAATTTATGGAAAGCAAAAAAATGAAAAAAATATGTTTAATTCTGCGCTCAAAATCATCATTATTTGTGGGAAACTTTTAAATTGTTCCTCACCATCTTTTAATTCGGTTTCCTGAATACGTTGCTGAACTTTCTTTTTCTTCTTCTTCTCACTTCCAGAAACATTATTCTTCTTACCTGCATCATATATGATTGTCGCTAAAGTAATATTTCATTATCAATAATAAAAAGAGCTTGTAGTTTTAACAACTACTAGCTCAGGACTTTTCCACAATTTCTTACAGAAAATTCTTTAGAATTACAATTGTCGAAGGTTCGGAGGTTAGTTTCATACCTGATGGAGCGTTCAGTGGTTCATGATTTTCTGGCACATATATACGACTACCATCAGCAGATTTTTTTATTGGGAGATCATATTCGGTGTATTCCACACCAACGTCTGTAATGTTTCTTTGATCATTTCATCAGTTGATGGATATTTATATTCCATTCAGTTGTTGAATGTTGCAAATATTTTTCTGCAGAATTAGAATGCACTTTTGTTAAAATACCAGCACATTATATTCACCAAAAAATTCAATATATTTCAAAATTGCAAATTTAAATCAGATAAACTAATAAAATGATTGATAAGTAACCGATATTTTCATCACCAAATGATGGGAAGTTAAATTCGTGATCCACTTTGTTTGTTTGCTTGTTTGGAAAAGCTTTGAATTCACTATATGCCACTCCAACTTGTTTTCGAACTTAACAGTTTTTAACAATAGAATACATGTAATTATTTTTTTCCGAAAAATTTCACTGTATTTTTTGGTATTTTCTTCTTTAAATTATTTTGTGAACTGTCATTTAAAAGATATAAAGCATAAATAAAAAGTCAAGATGTTAAAAACTAACGTGATTTAATTGGAGCACGACGAATTTCGTTTGAAATTTTATATGAAAAGCCACCGCTTTCTACTGATGTAGTCATATCGAGAGGACTAGCTGAGGTAAGAGAAAGCGAATAATCTGATCCAAAAGCCTGAACAATTGCATTTACACCTTATCATAAATAAATCAAGATCTTTCAATTGTAAACTCAGTTTAAACTTTCAAACTCCATAAAAATGTTCTTCAAATTATTTAACCTTATTATTATGTAAAGGATTATTCTCTCTGTTGTCGAATGGAGAAAACTTGGTTTCTTCATCGACGTGTGGCCCACTAGAAGGATCACGGTGCAATTGACTACTAGATAAAGAATGGCTTTCTGCTGCATGCTCAAATTCTTTGAGACGGGTTGGTATTGTTTTTAATTTGGACATAGTCATAAACGAAGTAGGGGAAATGGTCGGAATCGACGTTTCTTTCATCCGTCGCCTTGTACTTGTCTTTGTTGTAAGCTGCTTGAATTGGAAATTATTGTCATTGGTTTAAAGTTTTTATTGCAACGCCAAAATTAAAAAATTTGATCCGAAAAGTAATTTAAAATTCTAAAATTTGAATTATAATATTGATGGGAGGAACATCTTGCAAATCCTAAATTTTCCACACATGATATAGTTAAAATGTAATGGTTTTCATTAGGATGAGTCAAAATACCAGATGTTGGAAAAGCGTAGTGATTTAGTATGAAATTATGACTCAAAAATTTAACTGCTTTTTTTGAAATGGAAAATTTATGATTAATGAGAAAGAAAAACTCACTTTATTTCTTGATGTGACTTCAGTTTGCTGTGCTTTAGAACTCAAAGGTTTCAAAAGAATTAGTGATGCAGAAGTTGTGGTTTGCGGTGAAGAAATATCAATGTAAGACAACTTTGCTGTTGTTCGACTACGATCACTTGAAATGACTTCTTTGGAAGCAGCAGAATGATTCTGGAACTGCTGATATGATGCACTACAGTGTTATTTCTCATATATCACTTTTTTATTTTAAAATATATTTCATTCTCAAAATTTCCATTGAAATTTGTTTGCAAAGGATTTTGAAATTCTACTTGTAAAATGCAACAACCTGCGAAGCGCTTGTTGGAATGAAAGAAACGGTGGGTACTATGGAGTTTTGCTTGTTTATTCCATCGGTCATCCTGAAATCCCCACTTAGTAGAAGAAATATTCAAATATGAAATAAATATTATTTTTAATTTACAAATAAATAAATAATGAAAAATTGTTGCTATCCCAATGGTACATAATGAGAAACATTCAAATATATTAGCCGTTATCGTAAGTTATAACAGACAGTTATAACACATTATTAAAATCAAATCCTAAGCTCACCAATCAACACTTCGATCCCCGTCTTTGACAACTGTATTCATAATGGTTGAAAATTTTGCTCCAGACGTTCGTTGCACCTCCAGTGATGACTTGATGTCTATTAAAAACCATGAATAATTTTGAAGTTTCAAATTATAGAAAGAAATCTAAAGCTGGAAACCAGAAATAATGCTCAAAGAAACTTTTTATTTTAATCATCCGCAGGTCATCATTCTCTTTGTGCACGATTCCAGAAATACCGTCAATAATTATTATCAGATGATTTATAATCCTTGATCATCATTAATGTCCTCTATTAGATGATAACAGTTGTTTATTTTACCATAAACATGCTCACCGAGCACCGCCCAACCTGAGGGGAATATATAACGTCTTAATTACTACCAGGGTCAATCAAATAATCTGATAGTCTTGAGTTAACTCGCTCGAATAATGTTAATCAACTACAACCTTTCTCTCAATGAAATAGAATTTGATCCCAACCATATTCTTCTCTGCAAACTAATCAAATCCCTTTTTCATAGCAGAGTATCACATTATTAAGTAAAAAACTTAAGATTGCAGAATATTTTTGAACCACAAACTTATTTGTTGATTATTTATGAATTTTTTTGAACACAAAACTTTTTGCTGATTATTTATGAATTTCAGATAAAAAATTGCAAATTGTTACCTTGAGAATGATTGTTCTTAGATGGTGAAAGGGTACTCATATTTCGCTTTTTCTGGTCTTTTTCAAAATTGTACAAGGAACTCGGTCGAAATATTTGGATAACGTATTTGGTTGCTGATGATGGTACCGTTGTAGCTTGTGATGTCAGATGTCCTAAATGTTATACTTATGGCTAATTGGAAAGTTTTCTCCAATAGGTTCGACAATTTTATATATAGTCTAGCCCTATAAATTATTTAACATTCTCGAAAGTGCTCGGCTTTCATAAATGAGTTACCAAATAAGCCGTTCATAATGTGTGCTTTATTTTCGATCGCTGCCGTATTCATCATGTTACTCTCTGTTTTTGAAGAATGACGTTCTTCATTCTTTGGAATTTCGGTGGTGATAGCAGCTGTCACAAGTAAGTCATCGTAGATTAGGCCTTTAATACAGATATGTATAAATTAGTGTAAAGTCTTGAAGGAAGCTATGTTTTCATTGAAACTGGAACTTTGAAAATTTTTTAGATATAGCAGTTTAAAGCTATCGAACTCCCAAAACTTTTTTTTAAAAAATAAAATAGAAGCAGACCGATAGCTCTTGGAGTAAGATCGCAGAATCGCACTCTGTAATTATTCCCTTCGACAGCAATGGAATTGATAAGCTGATTGCGATGATATACTTCCGTCCGGGGGTCAGATCCAATTGGTTTAGCGAACTCTTTCTCTTTACAGTTCGTTTCATCTCGTGTTCGTAAACGGCAACACAGCACTTGTACCCTATACTACGAAATGATAATACATCAAAAGTATTATTTCACCTGGAGATTGGTTGTTACTTCTTCTAACAGTGCTAACTTTACCTAGTGTCCGATAGCCTGGTAATCCCAGATATGTATTCTCGCGGTCGACATGTATACAGTGATTCTGTGTCCACAATTGGATCAAACAAATGGCTATAATAGCAGTCTTCTCGTTCCAATTCCGCAATGCCTGTGGGAACATTATGCCATGGATATAGCTGTAAGTAATTTAATTATTAAATTTTTAACTTGGTAATATATTAATTCTAATCTTTGAACTAGGGCTAAAAGGCTTGAAAATGCAAAAACTTGACAATTTTTGTTCTGCGATGATTAAAAAAAAAAACCTCATCGACTCGCTCGCAAACAATTGCGAGAACGATATCGTGCCGGATGAAACCTTGTGATCCAACCATTCGTGCACTGATTCTTACGGCACCTGACTTATTTTTCTTTTATTAAAATAGTTGTACTTATTTTGATAAATATGTTGAATAATTTTATACTTTGAGGTTATCGATTCTTCGAGTACCTGAGGATTTGGCGCATTCGATTCGAAAATTGTCGAAAGGTGCAGAAATGAGTGGATTTTGTAGAGTGTGTACAACAGTTACAAATGCCAGAAATAAGATAGAAGGTTTAATTATCATCATTTCTGCAAACGTATGCTTGTAAAAAAAAAAAGAAATTTTTCATATAAAATAACGATTGTCGAAGTGAATGAATCTTTTAGGACTGTTAGATATCAGCGTTTTAAATTTCGAGACATAGGCTTCACGAATCTTTCTTCCTCATGCGTCCATTATGACAGTGTAAAACAACTTTCACATGCAAAGTTTTAACAGTTATATTGCAGCATCTCAGTGGTGCCAGTGCTGTTGAAACAACTCAAAACTTAGGGTTATTATTAATGCTTACTGATGATAACAACTTCTATTATAAGAGATTTGCAAAAGATTTAGAAATGCATATTTCCCGCTACCGCCAATTAAATCCAAGATATTGGAATTTAACAATAAAATAGTGGAATTGGAATTGAAGAAGTAACGGGAAAAATTTCCTTACTCCACATTGGACGTTCCTAATGTCTATTCAGTCTGATTGTGGAAGTTTAAGGTTGCACATTTGATGTGGTTATGTATTAATTTTTAAAGGGAAGTTTGCAGTATCATCTGTGAAGTCATTTCGTTTAATCAATTTGGTTGGGTTTTCAATGTTACGGAGCATCTAATCTCAACCGATAAAGGTCAATAGCATTATTTCGGTTTGCTTGCAGCTTTTTGGTATTTACACCGCGTGCTCTATGATTACCTAACCATTATCCCAATGTGAAAAAATGTTTAAGTCAGAAAAACAAGCTCGAAAATTCGAAAATACATAAATCAGAACAATGATCTGTTGTGCAGTTCTGGAATGCTCTTTGGAATATCGAGGTAATGTGAAGGAAATATGAACTACTTTGATATTTCCCAGCACTCCTAATGAACTTTATCTGCAACTGTCTCGCACACCGTCCTACATACCTAAATTTATATCACATCTAAAATGATTTCAACTGATTTTTTTACCGACAATGATTTAGTGTTCTTTGTATATCAGTATGAATGATCATATAAATTTATTTTTTCGTATCCATATTTATTCTTTTAAAATATTTTTTTGTGCAATATAATTTTAAAACCGCTTACTGTGGTGACTGTAGGGTTATGTCATGCTGATCCGTCTTAATCATTGTAGATACAAAATTCGGAAGTGGTGGCACTCTGACTTGTTCACGTTTAATTTACATTTCTTTGCAGTCGTTTAATTCTGAGCCTTTCTTTTCTACGGATGAAACTAGAGTTCAATGGCAGTTCATTGGATACGGTGATGGCTGTTGGTATCTAGGAAGAAATGTTGACAAGGAAGGAAAACTCAAGAATAAACAAAAAAGGAATTACTGGTAATCACCAGCCACAGATCATGTAATAACTTATGGCTGAATTAACTCAACAAACTTTGCAAAAATTCCACAGATTTAGTTTTCATCGTATTACACATAGAAAGTTAGGATTATTGCATCAAAGATAATGGATTCATAAGAGTATTTTACATCAACAATATCCAACTGCTGTTTGATGAAAGAATGATTTAGTTGAAGGAATATGAATTTCATAATTCAGTTATGGTAAATATCCTTTGCAAGTTTCCTCCCACTTTTTTATCCGTATGTTATAAAGACTCTTGAAGATTATCTAAAACTAAGAAATTTTCCAGTCAGACGAAAAAACCTGACAATGTACAATATATTATGAACAAAATTTGAGTGTTCAATGTTCATTGACCCTATTTTCTCAACAAACAGTTTGGCATGAATCGCTTTACAACGATTTCTTTTTTTTAAGCAGTTGGAAAGTTGCATTGAAATGAAACAATTGCAAAGTTTGCAAATTTTCTAATCAATTTAAATCATTGTTGAACATATGTTGCAAGTGGTAAATCATATATATCCCGCAAAAAACTTGCATAGTAAGCTTCAAGAACCAAATATTAAGAATATAAGTACTTTTTAACCCATCCGCACAGATTGTGCTCGATCATACGCTGGACACGGCCATACCTTCTTAAGGAGACTTCAATATCACATATATCAAGTTATATCGTTTAATCTACTACAGTTATGTTACACAACGACATATTTTCCTTTTCATCATTACATTATCCATAAAATTGTATATATTGAGAATAAAATTAGGGAAAAACACATCTATAATAAAAATAATGAAAGTGTAAAGATTTGAAATATTTTTTAAAAGGAGCATAAAATTCAGTGGAAAAACAATAGTAGATAATAAAATTTTTTAGAAAATGATTCCAACGGACTCGTACGTGAGTAAATGAATTAGAATTTTCGTCAAAAACATCGAAAAACAGGTTGTTGCTCCCAAAGGAAACGTCGACATATATTATATATTTATACCTATGTGTAAGAAATGTGCGGTATACCAACGGTCACTGGATAATCAGGTCGACCTCCCTACTGCTGCCTGTATGAACTGCTATCGAATAGAAGTGATGCCGCGATGCTCCCACATTGAATTCTCTTTCAGTGGAATTCATTGCCAACTTCATTCATCCATCGTTTAGGGTAACTAATCTCTCTCTTCTGAAATAATCTTTGATAACCTAAACAGAGAATACATTGTGAGATCGAAAATTATGAATTTTCTTCGGAAGGTTAATATTTAACTGCTTTCACTCATATGTCATATATCGAAAAGCAAACATTCAGTATAGTCGTTTCAGGACAAAGTTCTCCTCTAATCGTGGAAAAAGTGCGTCTCAGAAATTGCAATTATTGGATTGGGTCAATGGGTTAAGTTCAAGCAATTCGTCCAAATAACAAATTGTCCCAATTAAAACAACTTTCAAATTTTGAAGAATTTGAAAGATATCGTAAGATTGCATCGAACATAAGAAATGCAAAGGTTTGCATTGTAACATGCAGCACTTACGTAGGTGCTTATCATCAAAGCAAATACCATATATGCGATTGACACTTCTTTCTCATACAAAAACAGTGTGAAACAATATTGATGGAATTTAAACATTCGAATGGTGAATCGCAAAATAAAGATTGAATTGCAACTGCAACGAAGAGAAATGAGTTTCTATGAACTGGCCGTAGGATCAGAATAATTCACAAGCATGTAAGTCTTAAAAAGATTCATGGATATCAAGTAATTTGCAATACGGTAATAGAACATCGGTATCGTATTTAAATAAGGTTTTAGTGTATTTGTTCCATATCTCCGTTTTGAATAGTTTATCTCCTCCACAATCAGTTTTGGATTGTGTTGCAAACCTTAACGTCTTCTGATTTTGAAGACTTTCGCTGTCTTGACCAAGCATTGAAATATCTCAGCAATATATCAGGTGTGTTTTGCAACCAACTTGAATTATTTCAACATTAATGGAAATTTATCAAGAAGTTATCAACTTCAAAGGCTCTATTAATCCCCATAATTTTCAGAAACCACATTCCAAGCATGCTTCTGCAGAAACGTGCAACTTTATTAAATAGATCACTCAAGAAATACTTACGTGCTTCCCACATTTTTTGCGATTGCCAATGCTGCATGATGAAATGCGTGACATTTCCGATGGCATGGCACGTTTCCATTTTTCATTACGTTAATGTGTACGTTTCAGTTGAGAGGAGAAATGTTTTTGTATGCAAAGCAAAGTCAACAAGTGAAACAACTGTGCGTAAGAATTCATCGATTTTTCTTTGAGGGTCTGATCAAGTGGTGACATGACAGCCAGAACAACAAAGCAGTCTTTATGAATTATATAAATTGTAGGAATTTCACTATTAGCTGTTCCTCGGTAGTGCTAATATTCATCTAAAAAATCAACTTGAAGCTTGTTCACTTGCTCTTGGAATCAAATTATATTAGCATTTCCAGTTTTTGGAGAAATTGACTGACAAATTGCAACATCGCATTTCAGTTCTAAAGCCTTATTCCTAAGGACAGATTGCAAATGGGTTGCAGAATGCGGATACCTCAATGTTATGTCAACTCAGTTTTGGGAAAAACGGCCAAAAGAACAGCTGTTACTTAAGCAGTCAGCTAACCTTCCTATCATCCGACGGACAAGATGATCAGGTCGATGTAATGGGAAGAGGAGTTGATCTTTACAGGTTCAGATTCGTTTATATCCAGCTAGTCATGTCAAGCGGAGCTGATACATAATCGTAGGAGTGCTGCAGAAATTAAACTTTACCGCGACCTTAACTACTGTACGAAACCCTGAACGAAACATGCAGATACACACAGACACAGATACAGACAGATACATACATACGCACACAAACCATACACACATATTTGCCTAGGCACTACATCACCGACAGACATCCAAGCAAATTTCTGCAAATTTCTCTGAACCCATCAACAGATAGAGAAGAAGGGGGAGATTCCCGACCTTCTGAAAAGGCTACATACCTCCTACTCTCGTTTCTCTCTACCTAATGGAGGGACAACATTTTAACATTTTATGGGTTGTCTCTGAGCTGATTGGCACTCTCTCGCAGTCGTCGACCGATCCTCCCGCACCTTCTGCACTCACGACGCTACGCGGTACTTGCACCTCGTCGTGCCTCTCCTGCATCGATCGATGTGCCCCTCCTCCCGAGCACCACATCTGCCATCCGAAGCGTCCCTTCTTTTTCGTCGTTGTCGTCGTCGTAATAATAGCAGCAGTAGCATCAGCAGCAGCGGCACAAGCGACACTGGAAGTCGCATTACCCATCACTTTGTAAGGGTCGGCCGAAACGTTACTACCCCACGGGTTAACAACATGTACTGTCCTCTCCGCTCCCGTCTCACCTATCCGGCCATCCGCAGCTACACAATCTTGCCAGTGATTGAAGTTGTGGGCCACCCATTGCCTATAATTGCCATTTCTCTCCTCGAGACGATAATACCCGCATTTGTTTGCTGTAAACATACCTTTCTACTACTATCCATGTTTATCTCTCTTCGCACTCGGTCAGTAACTGCACGTCACACTTATGACTTTTTTTACGTGAATACCATCCGCACAGTTGTCATATCACTAGTGCTACCGGAACCTTTTTTTCTTTCGAAATGCCAATATTACGACACTTGTGCATGATAAGCAGACGCTGTTTTATGTCTGTAATTTTCCTCCCCTTTTTAATGATTATCGCGTTACGCGTGCGTTGACTTCATACTGGCTCATTTATCCCGCATCATTTCTTAAATTAATCAGAATTCGGGTTTTGTTTCTAAATGAACTGTGAGCATCTTTAACATTACACGAATGATAAATGACAGTTAGGAGAGATCCAATAGAAGAGATGGATCATTTCGGATCAGTAGGAGTGTGTATGATTCATCCCATCCAGAACATGAGTTTATCCCCGGACTGCAGCCTATTACTTCCGGCATTCCCGATGCCCTTTTCAGAAAAATATTGCTCATCTTGATTGGTGAAATGTGTACATAATTCACATTAAAGGGATCAGCTGTCTATTCCTACATTTTCTCCCAGGCAGAATGGGATGATGCATCAGTCAGCAATTGAATTGATGATTTTTTCCTTTTTTTCTATGTTCAATGTGTGACTGACTATTTGTTGGGAATATTTTGGTGTCAATGTGAATTATGACATCATCGCCTGAGTACCATCAGCTAGTTCCCTTTGAATTGACGATTAAATGTGAAAGAATCACCCGGCCACCATCCTATTCCCATTTTGCTTTACAAACTGGTCAGGTCACCACCAGTGCTATCCTTTTATTCATCTTTTTAAAGTGTTTTTCCCGTATCAGTGCTGAATAATTCCGAAAAATATATACCGCTGCTATAAGGCATTCAACTTCAAATCACCATTTTTATACTATTTGGGCCTAATTTTTCTCACGGAAAACTTCATTATACTTGCACTGACTTATTGAAGCAATCAATTTTAAATCCATGTAATCTAAAATGGTCAAGACTGACTTGCTCCTTAATTATTCTATTATGAAATCACATTTTCATCCGTGAAAACAGTTCAGTTGAAAGCAAAAGGACAGGGATAAAAAGAAATAGACAAAAAGTGAAAGTTTAATTTGTTTATTAAAAGACACTTCATCATGAAATCCGGAACCGACGCCATTTCAGTGACAGGCATTTGGAGCAACTTAAATATTACTGATTTGATTCCGATTATGAATGCACTTTTTAATATTTTCCTGCACTACTACGATGATTACACGCATAAACAATTTTAGTTTTTGTTACTGATTTATATTTGATGGATTTATATATTATTCATGGCTCTATCGAGTCTTTGTTGAGCAAGGATTCAGTGATTATGTAACAGATGCATTTTTTTCGTAATCTTTGCAATCTAACATTTCATTCCGGATCATGATCCCGAGAAATCCATGAGCAGTATAAATTCTTGTGGAAATTTCTGTGCCTTCTTTAAAAGCATTTAGCAAGCTTAGACTGACAAGAAAATTTCTTGGCCTTCCAAGCATTTTTTTTCAAACCTCGTATAATCGTGAAAATATTTCACCAGTTTTATTTTTCCTAGGTTCCCAAAGCTCGCTCATGGTGTATATCGTATCAAAATGTTCGAAGCATTCATATACTTCATCGGAATTTTACATACCGATCGCTCTGTTTTTCGTCCTTTCTAAGCAATATCCGGATTCTATTTGAAACATTCCCTTGACACCTGATTCGTTTATTGTACAACATTTAGTGTAAAATTTTGGAAAATTTGGCTGAAATGAAAAAAAATTTTTGCTTACCATCTATGGTGTACGAAACTGTGTTTATCTACGAATACGGGAATGTGAGTGCAACAAAAACATTGATGATGAATCATAATTTTCTCCCGAAATCTGAAATTTTAAAGTGATCATCTGAATCCCTTCATTCCTACTCATACGTAACTTTTAAGGCATTCGCTCTTCTTTCTACGATTAAACTTGTCTCATAACTTTATACATATATGTGTGATGTATAAGGCAAAAGTCCAGTCATGGGAATATATGTATATATAACAGTGACTTGATTATTGCGGTAACTCATACAGTAAAACAAGTAAACATTTCCTTAAAGTCACAGAAAATGAAAAAATTCAAAAATATATGAGTAAGTCTTAATTACATGCTTTCCCTTTTCTTTTTCTGGATTAAGGGATAGTAAATTTTCAGAAAATTGTGATATTCTAAAATTGTGTTTAAACCGGAAAAACCACTTAACACTAACTTTTTTTACTTTAAAAACATAAATTCCCACTTAGATCATTGTAAAGCACTTCAAACATTCACAACTTTTGTTGTTTTTTTATTTTTTGAACATTACTACCAATTAATTGATTACTCATTTAACTTAGAAGGTCTTCTAACTGAACTAAAATCTATGATTATTAAAGGAGATCTATTGGAAAACATTTTAAACCGTATAAACCATTCAGTGAAAGTGGTTGAGTCTATTGAATTAAAAATGTCTGTATATGTTTTATTGTCTGTATATGTTTTAAAATTTCATGAGGTTATGCAAATCTTATGCCAGAGGAGTTTGTATAAGCTTTTATTAGTTGACCCTTCTGTAATAAAATATGATATATTGTGTGAGAATTATAAATATTGCTGTAGATTTAAGAACGACGAATACTTCAAAACTTCGGCCTAATGCCATGCTGATAAAAGACTTAAACAAACTTGTTTAGCGTAGAATCTCTATGACATCATGAAGTAAGCTACTGAAGTTCTTAACGCCAAAGGGCTTAGTTCACTCTTCGGCTCATTTGAAAGTCATGTGGAATAGTGTGAAAATTTTCAAGACGCAAAAAGCTTTTTTAGTGTAGAAGAGCACTGCTGCAATCTAAGGTGTGTATTATCATTCGGCAATGGAAAAGAATGGCCACATTTTTAGGATAGTGGGCTGGTGAGGGAAAGCAGCTGTCCCCTTTGTTTTCTCGACTTTGCAGTTTGAATTATGCAGCACCCCATCACACTGACAACAGTTTTGTTCACATTCAAATTCTGTCCCTTTTATCATTGCCTCAATCGCTCCTTCTTTTCCAAGTGTTTTTTCATACTGACAACCATTTTACATAAAGTGCTAAATTTTTTTGTGTTTGATGAGGTCTTTTTTTGATGAAATTCGATTCATTAGGAGTTTCTAAAAATAATCGAACGTTCTTTACTCTTACTGAGTAAAGAGCTTCGATTATTATTTTCACGTAAATGAAGTAGATCTTTTGTGCGGCATAAACAATGAACGGAATAAAGTAATCGATCAGATAGCTGGTATCATATAGGCCATCGGAAATTTGATTGTATTCAATGACCCAATAATTTCAGCATTTAGATGCGGGTTCGGGATCGTTACTGTAGGATTTTTGTGAATCGTATGAGCCACTACAGTTGATGATAATAGCTTATTATGGAGCTCTCGAATTTTGTTATCATCTTCATTTACTAGAAGTCCTCAAGTCTTGCTTTTTTATCCTCTCTAAATTTTGTTCTTTTTACCGTAAGATTTACGTGGTAATGGAAGCTTTGCTTCTTTTCTGAATAACGCAGGTCATTTTGTTATCAGTTGAGCACGAACAAATGAGGAGAGCATCGAATTATTCTTTAATGGTACTAAATCACTCAATCAAAAAACTTTAAAAATTGACCAGTGCTAAAATAAATAAAGAATCAATTTTTCAATTATAACTGGGAAATGGTTTCGGTTTGATAGATACGAGATGTGAAAGGAATACAGAAATATATGAATCCGATCTGGAAAACATTCCATTACTTTAAATATTAATCCTTCTCTTGATTTAGATCCAACAATTCATTTCCTCTCAGTCACTGATATCACTGATAACAGAATAATAGTTGAATAAGTAGGATGTAAAAAGTACATGTTTTTTATGAACTTTTTTCCATCACTTTTCTTGGAACTTTTGGTACTTAGTAGCATTTGAAAATTTAGGAAAATATAAAGCTCAGGAATTAGAAGTACTAAAATTGGGAACCGTATAAATTTAAAACAATCCGATGCCTCTAGTCGCCGTTATGTGTGTTCTCATCCTTGACAATTATCTTCAGAATGATTTGTTGCTGATTTCGAAATATAAGTCATCTTTAAGTCAGTTGTAAACCACAACATGATAGGTAGTACATTTAGCTTCATTATTTTATAATTAAATAATTATCTTTGACCCTGTTCTGCCCGTGATAACAGAAAAAAGGAAGATGCGAAGGACACATCGCAATCCTTACTATGCCGTGAAACTGACTGATTCTAAACTTTCTTCTTTGTTGACATTTAATGCACTTTTCATAGAAACAGTGTACGTAGCATTTTGAAAAGCAAGCCTTACAATGGCCGAAAATGCTTTCAACTCAATTTTAATAAAATGCTTTCATCTCAATTTTTTCAGTTGTTGCAAAATTTATTTTTTTTAATTCGATTACCAGTGTAGGATTCTGCGGTGTTCTCAACTAACGATAGCTGAAAGAATTCAAACAGAATAAGTTTGCTGCCATAGATGTTAGAAGAAATACTAGAAGGGTGGTAGCAGGAAAGCTTCGGGAGTTTAACACAGAGTTAAGTGTTGCTTGGTGTATTTATCCTCCTGCTTGGTGCACTTCCTCTCATTCCATTAAGAAAACCGCTTCCGGTTAGCTCCTATTTCTACTACAGTCTCTGAAAAATGGATGCTAACTGTCTGATCAAGATTGATGACGTACGTCCTTTAGAAAAAGACGGACCACTCCCCCATTTCACCATTGTTTTTAAAATTGATATAAACTAGACACACATACAGCCAGCATTGCAAACAGATACATATGCAGACACACATATATATATATATACACACACACACACACACACACACACACACACACACACACAGATATGTGTTTGCCTACATTTACGACATTGCATTCCAAAGGAGCGTAGGATACGCAAAGAGGGTTTGCTTGCGATGCAACTTTTGTCCCCACTTTACATTCATTGATGTCTACTTCACAGGACACTTTTTCATTTAACGCCTGATCAATTATCATATTATACTTCATTAATATATCTCTTTATAGTTGTTATCATAAAAAATAGTCTAATCGTAAAACGTGAACTACGTGATGAGCAATATGTATGCACATTATTCTCAACACCACTGAAGCTAGCAGTTTCATTTTTTATCCATTCATTCATTCATTTGGATTACGACGACATGCGGATCATTCACTGTCACACACCTTCCAACGACATTGTGACAACTTACCCGGACATTGTTTCCCTATCTTCTCTTCCTTTCCTTTCCATCGCAGAAATTTTGCAAATGCCTGATTGGATGACATTGTAGGCATCAACAATAATTTGAAGGTTATCCCTTTTGCAGTACAATGACACTAATATGCGTTTATGCAAGTATGTCGAACTCCCTGAGAACTGGGCCTGATGATCTCAGCAAGATGAATATCATTCAAGCGGTATCAAATCATAACTGCACATTTTGCAAGTTTTTGGCATACCGAGAGAATATTATATAGGTTGGCCGTCAGTGATCAGGCGGTTCAAACATCACCAATCTGATCTGTAGAACTATAGAACAATAATAATGTGATTAAGTAATCAGGAAAAATTTATCCCAGGAGAAAACGCGCCACCTTGTTTGACATTTCTGGAGCTAAATATTATGGATAGCTTGGAATGAATTTATTTTTACATCTTTCAGATTTGCGTAAAGTACTAACGATACAATATTTTTTACAATGGGATGAATTACCATAAGGCGTGAAGTTGATCATGGGAGTTGTAAGATTGAAGTGAGACGTTTAATACTAGGAACTTGGCACCGGCAAACTGGCTTTACGGAATTTAAATTCATTTTTTAAAGTTTATTACTATGATGAATGTTCTTCGCTATATAAAAGAAGAAATAACAAAGATGGGTTATTTTGTGTGGGAAGTAGGACCAGTGATATTTTGTAAAGCAAACAAATAAGAATACTACAAGTTGGTAAGAATGAAAGCGAAGAATCCTAATTTTGTATCTATATAGAATTTTTTAATAATAATAATCCACTTACATATCACACATTGCTGCAATCGAATTATCTATGAATAGTTCTTTTATCTTGATTAGTATCAGCCAGCTAATATTTCAAGCAAGTTCAGATCTGCGAGAAAGAGGGAGTAAATGAAATTAGATTATATGGAAAAAGTAAAAGTATCGTAATCAATTGCATGTTTGATTTGTGAAAATGTTTGAAGTATCCGAGCTTTGTGTCATATTCTTTTTTACGACTTAGTTTTAAAAGCTTGTTAGTATATTTACAGGTGTAATGTCACCTCATGCTTTTGGCTTCTGAATTGATATTTCTGGAAAGCCTTATATTTCGTCACCCAATGAGTGTTGTTACTGCTGCGCCTGTCGCCATCCGTCAAATGTTTAGCAGTTCTGAACATTCGTGAAAGTTATTGCTAAGCGGTTACCAACTCTCCATTGACTAGACTTCATCGTATACGAAGAATAAAACATTTTTTAAAACGGAAAATACCATTATTCTGTCTCTCTCACCCATAGATTCGGTAAGTGGGTTGATGGACAATAGTAATCAGTAAAGCGAGCCTGGAAAGCATGGTTGCTCAGGACATAAAATTAGAATACGACCGCAGAGCGAACATGTTTGGACAAAATCCAAATGTAAGTTTCCCCATTTAATCATTACAAGATTTCATTTTTCTATATCTAAAAAAAATGACATCTGCCCGGAAAATATTGTCTTGAATATTCTTCCGTCATTCATCAATCCTTAATGGTTTACAGTTTGCGACATCATCAGCTTGGCCTCAACAGAGTTCTACGCAGAGTTCAGCTTCATTGGCAGTGCAACCCTCTGTCATTGATGGTGGCTCGTTTCTGAATGCTCCGCTCCAGGATTCGAATAGTGCATACTCTCCTAACATGTCTTTCAGCAATAAGTAAGTTATCGTTTGTTCTTTCATCAAACTGTCAGGCGTTGGCTGTATTGGCCATAAAAGAGTAGGAATAGCAATATGCATTTTTTTTGACATCAATACGCAATTTATAAAATCGAGTTAAGCAATTTTATAAGCATCAAAAATTGTACTCGTTTTCTATTCCATTTGTTTATTTTAGAAAGGAATTATTGGTTATTTATAATTTTCTGTTCTAATTAAATTCATTTACAGTTCTGGTTTATCGCTGTCTAGTCAGGCACATATGGGCTTTCCTATGGCTGATCATATCCCATCCACCTCTACACATAATCCTCATAGTGGTGCTGTCGTCACGCATCAACAGAGTACTGTAAGCAATACTCACAATCGCTCTTTACAGCACGAATCCGCCACTTCTCCATTGAGAAAGTTAAGCGTTGATTTGATCAAAACCTACAAAGGCATCAACGAGGTTTCCACTTTTTTTTAGTCATTCTGTTCAGGCTGTCCTAATTTTGAAGTTTCAATGAATGTTGTAAATATAATCTTCGAAAATTTGCTCACATTTATATAAGCTGTAACTTTCATTCCGTGATAATTAATCAGTAAGAAATGTCTGATGGAATTTCAAATTTTCTCTCAATTGTTTTAGAGTTATTATGCACGAAAAGCGAAAAGGCGACATGAGCAAGAGCATCATACTCATGGACTTCATCCAACAGCTCTATCCGAACATCATCATACTGCGCCACCACCCAAACAAGCTGTTTCACTCAACCAACAAGTAAAGATTTCATCTACTCTTTTTTGATCTCTTGAAAGGATTTTTGAAGAATTATTTCCTCTGAGGAATTAGTTGCAGATTACTTCAAATTTGATACAGCAAGGTCATTCACAACATGTTCAACATTCGATGTTTTCCCAGGCTGCTACAGTCCCCTCACTGTTACATCATTTGCATGTGCAGGTCATATTTCATACTTAACTGTAGTATTTTCCTGAATTAGAAATGATCTGAGCATGTCAGGATGACATGAGAAATAGATCACGTCAACTGCTGGTATACAGGAGACTTGGATAATTGAACGACGATAGATCATTTCGGATATATATATATATAAAGCCTAAGCCTAAGCGAAATGATCTCTCGATCGTCCATCTAAAAAGTTTTCCGAATATCAGCAGTTGGCTTGGTCTATTTCTCATGCTTTAGAATCAGAGTAATAGTAATATATGATAAAGCAATGCTAAATTAAGAGATTGCATGAAATTGTTACTTTGTGATTCGTGATTCCCAACACAACAATATGTAAATCTATAGTGTAGGCTCTGATGTGGTGACTGTTAGACTTCAGAATTTTTCGTCGTGCTATCGTTATGAATGATTTTATAATAAATTAATTCAGGTTATTGAAAATCCGCGTTCTGGAAGTCATAACAATGGTTATGACGATGAAAATCATGACTATATCATACATCCGGGTGAACTTTTCAACAATAGGTTAGTTTGTCTTTTTTTTCTATGTCACTTGTCTTTATCGGTATCATATTTATCAAGTCAGCTGTTAAACTTTGTTGAGCAGTATACATGCCCTTTTCAGATATCAGATTGCTTGTCATCTCGGCAAAGGCTCTTTTGGACAAGTTGCCAAAGCATATGATACTGTGGAGCAGCAGGATGTTGCTATAAAAATTATAAAAAATAAAAAGCCATTCCATGATCAAGCTCAAATTGAAATTCGATTACTTGAAATGATGAACAGTCAAGAATCTGAAAGCAAACATTACGTTGGTGTGTTTATACTAGCTTTTGTTGAATTTAGAAAATATAAAATCAATGATTTGTCTCAAATTTTGATAATAGTTTTATCCAGATATTCCCTGAATTTGTTAAGTGAAGAAGGATAGCGTAATTCTACTTTTTACCTTCTTATCATTATAGATGTCTTTTCTGTTTTTTGGGTTCTACAAATGATTCTGGAAAATATATATGCATATTTCTCATAGCTGCAGTTCATTGATCAATGATTATTATAATTTCAGTGAAATTGAAAACTCACTTCATGTGGCGTAATCACTTGTGCCTTGTTTTTGAACTTCTTTCGTACAATTTGTACGACTTATTAAGAAATACAGATTTCCATGGTGTTTCGCTCAACCTCACAAGGAAATTTGGACAACAGGTGCGTTTGTTTGTTAAGTAAATAAAAGTGGATTTGTGGTTTTATAGTGCGAATTTGACACATCCAGTGAATATAATAATCCTTTATTCATCATAATCTGTCAATTAGAGGTAAAGCACTTCATTTCATAATTGAATAGGTTTTAACACTTCTTCCTATTATACATGACAATGGTAGGCGAGTAGTATAACAGTTATTTCTTACTTGAATGAGTCAGGCCTAAAATAATAAGTTTTGTTGCAAATGAAGCACAGTTTTATTTGATTATGAGTGCATGTGCATACAATGTTCTTATATGAAATGTATTATAGAAGTATCCGTTATACCATTGGTAATAGTAATGGACAGGTAAATTTTCATTTTTTGCTACATCTGTTCGATCTCTTTTTGTTTCAGTTGGCCAGTACATTGATGTTTCTTTCATCGCCTCAACTAAATATCATACATTGCGATTTGAAACCCGAAAATGTTCTGTTATGTAATCCAAAACGCTCTGCGATCAAAATAATCGATTTTGGTTCATCATGCCAACTTGGTCATCGTATTTATCAATACATACAATCAAGATTTTATCGATCACCTGAAATCCTATTGGGTTTACAATATGACACAGCCATTGATATGTGGTCTCTCGGTATGTAGTTTTTAATTTTTATTACATTTGTATAAAATAGTTTCGTTCCCTGCAGTTTGATTGTTTTCTAAAAATTATTTTATTTATCGAAGTAATTCAGGTTGTCTGATTGATGAAGTGTTTTATAATGTAAGGTTACATTTGAAATTTAATTTTGTAATGCATTGTGGTTTAAAAATAGAATTTCTCTTTCCCCACTTGATTCATCTTTTTCGTCGATTTAGGATGCATACTGGTTGAAATGCATACTGGTGAAGCATTATTCGCTGGTACTTCTGAACACGATCAGATGATGCGTATCATTGAAGTGTTAGGTATGCCACCAAATCATATGATTGAAACTGCACCAGCTGAAAAACGAAACAAGTTTTTCGAGAAAGATGATGGTAAGTTTAGCCTGACTAGCTTTCAGTCTTTTTCTGTTTTCTATTCAGTACACGTTTTCACCTTTTCCTGTAGATAATTAATTGCTAAGTAGGTTTTGGTTCTTGTCATGATATGTTCGTGATGATGTTTTCAAGTTCGCAGGACGAATGTGGTTATTCTAAGCAGCTTCTCCTTAAATGAGAGTTTCTAGACTCGAAATTATGAATTGATTGACAGTTTTAAATTGTTAAAGTTGAAACTCAACATTAACTTACTTGTCGAAGCAACACCAAACTTATCATCACAATTTTGTCAACCATCTATCAATGGTTTGTTCTATTACGAAAAGTGAAATTTTAGAAGCAGCTTTTTAGAAGGGGATGTTATCTCAGTTCTTGACAAATTCGTCATGATGGGTGTTTCAAATCGCCATTTTGAGAAGTTTCAAACACTTCTTTAGAATGGCCTTCTTTAGAAAGTGAAAATTTTTTGGTTTACGTACATATATAAACAAAGAGCTTGATCGCATAAACGAAGTCGTTTATGAAACTTGATCGCATAAATGAAATCGCATGAAACACTATGTATTTTTAAATATTCCAGTGCTTCGGTCGATCTTTTTGTTAATACAGTTTTTTTAGATGGTAATTATCTATGTAAAGAATCACGGGAAAACAAACGTTACCGGTTACCAGGGTCGCGCAAATTGGCCGATATCATCGGTGTAGACATAGGTGGACCGGGAAGTCGACGCCTTGGCGAATGTGGTCATACGCCTGAAGAATATACAAAATTTAAGGTTATATTTGATGAAAATATGGATATTTTGGTTTTTTATGAAAATTTTGTATTGGACATATCCTCATAAACATATTCATTAATCAGATTTTTCAGGATCTCGTGGAGCGAATGTTGACGTTTGATCCGCGGGAGCGTATTGGGCCATACGCTGCAGTTAGACATCCTTTTTTCTCACGTAGAACTGATGAATGTGGAAGTATGGGTTCTGCTCTTGCTTCGCACTCCAGAACCTTGCAGCAACCAGTTACAATATCCAATAATGTTCAGGTCAATACATCACATACAGTAAGTTGCATTGTATGTATCAATTCAATCATTTCAAAAAAGCTTTTAATTTTTCTATCGCCTTTTTAGCACTTTCAGGTTGCACAACCTCATTTTGTTGAGGAGCACTCGCTCAATCAGATGGATTGCGCTGATTCTAATGCAGTCATAGCTCATTCACAGCACATACAATTGCCACAGCTTAACCAGGTATCTTCTGTGGATTTCTTGGAAATATTAGTTGCGAGCCCTGTCGATACAAACTATCTTTTTTCAAAAGAGTCATATGACTACTCAAAAATTTAATGCTTCTTAGCATGTTTGCTAAGGCATTTGAAAGGTTTTTACTTTTTCCCGTTTCTCCTACTCCCTTTTAAGATCGCAATAATAAATACGCGCAAATCAAGAATTAAATAAAGAAGGTGGAATCGATTAAGATCTGGTTGTTTATAACTGTTATCCTTATATTTCTCTTCAGTTTCAGGTTGTTGGTCAACCGAATAATTACCAAGAGCAAGGAGGATCAGCGAATCGAAATTTATTTCAGTGGGTGTTAAAAGTTGATCCCCTCTGGCAAGTAATGATTGACTAACAAATAAATGAATTTGGGTTCTACATACTTTCAATTAATCTTCTTACAGAATTGCTCAACCTTTCGGTTTGTTATCTCAACAAGTGCAACATGGACCGAATCAAAATCAGCAGCAGCATCAGTCGAGCAGTTCGAATATGTCTAGCACGCAGCATCAATTACAGGCTCCGTCGCATTTTGTATCGGGTTTGCAGAACTCAATTTGGACATCCCATGAACAGGGTGACGATACGCGGTATGGCCATCATTCTCAGCCATCGTCAAATCTTCAGCCGTCCCAACGGGTTAGAATTCATGTTATGAATATGGTCGTCATAAATAATTAGATTTTTTTACAGCATTCCCAGAGTTAAGGAAATATGTTCATTAATTACACGTACGAATCTTCTTTGCCTGAATCTTTTGGGACGTAGATTCTACCACTTCGATGTACTTAGTTTTTGCTAATTGTACAATACATTCAGATATTAGATATGAATTTTTCTCTTATATTTACGTACGTAACTCATGTTTCAGAATTCACTTTTGCCACAAAGTCGCAACCTGAGCTTTGACGGAACAGTAGGTAATGGCCAAGCACCACATCAGAATCGTATGCAGTCCTCAACGAACTGTGCTAGAGCAAATCCGACATCAATCTTGTTTCCAAATAACTTTATACCGCAAGCCCAGCAACAAACAGCAGCACAAATTGGTTTATCGTCAAATACAAAAGCTTCTGATTTCTCATAATTGTCATATTTTGTTCATTTTGAATTTCTTTCTATTTCTGTCTTATTTTTATTGTATATTTTTTGTACCATTTCAGTGCTTTCAAAAATTTTTATTTGTTTCAAAACACCGATTTTTCTATTTTAAGCAACTGTAAGCTTGTGATCATTTTATTTTCTATCTTTGTATTTTTATTTTCTATCTTTGTATTTTTATATTTTTATCCTTATTATATTCTTACTTTTTAATTTCCTAATATTTTGCTTCCTTATTTTGCATAACCTTTGAAGTGTTCAACTTATCTTGCTTATTAAACATTTCTGTTTATAAAATTTCTCTTGCAGTGTTCTTGTATTTATCTATTATTTAGTATCGCGCAGTTATCCGCAATTGTGTTTATCATCTAATCCATACATTATTTTATACCACACCTGTATATGGCATTGTCCACCTGTTAAACCTTTTTATAGTTTAATGCATATCGATTTATGTTGCTCTTTTGATTAAAAAATTTGAATGCATGTTTTTGAATCGCTGATTTCAGGTTATGTTCATAATCTAATGTCTCTTTTTCTTTCTTTCTAAGATGATTATATATATGCATGTACGTGAAATTTTTAAGTTGAAATGCTGCGAATTTTTGTTTGGCTGTTACGGGCAAGGCAAGATTATTATCCCTGTGTCAGTCTAATTTTTGTATCAATTATGATTTTTTATTTTGTTTTATAATTTTCTTGTATTTGGAGCTCCATGTATATATCAATTCATCTGTTCGATCGCTCCTCATGTTGCAGTACTATGCTTAATTTTTTTTTACAAGTTTCCCAATTTCGACTCTTTTTTTTTGCAGCAGCAGCAAATTTAAGATATGTGCTTGCTTAATGAATGAATAGGCTTATGATATGCACATATGTATAGCATATACACATATATATATAGTGGTGATTGATACTATACATATAATACTGATTTATATATGATACTGATTACAAATTCTGTCCATATTTGAAGAAGTGAGACATTTCCAGAGAAATTTACAGAAAATTTTCGTTGTGAAAAATTCCGTCAAATAGCAGGTAGAGTCGGTTACCAGTAAAATAATAACCGATTGTTAGTTATACTTGTTATTCTGATAAGTTACAATTATTCGTATGTTGTTACTCTGATCAATTGTGTTTTTAGGTGCTTAATTGCTAGCCGTACTTTTTTTAAAGTAATTGTTCACTTGCGCATGCGGCTATTTGATAACTTTGCTAGTTTTCCCCTATGTATCAACTCATTCTTCCTTATCTTCCGCCATTCTTTTTTCCTTAAAACACCTGCCGTTTAGATGGCTAATGAATCATTTATTGGCTTCTTCTGAATTCATATTTGATGCTGCATTTCCATGCAGTATTCGTCATGAAATTGCTTCGTATTTTAGTAAATGGTCATTCGCTTTTTCTTTCATCTTATATTAGTTGAACCAAAAATTCTGGAAACTGAAACCGTATGGTCTTTAAAGCAGCCTCATAACTGGTTTACATTTATTACGAAATAGCTTTTTGGTGGGAAATTTAAAGAAAGTTTGATAAAATTGAGGCGCTCATTTTTTTAACATTGCGAGGCTTCAGTTGTGTAACACAGATACTTGCGACCTTGCAGTGCAGGGAATAAAATCAAATATTTTGAATTAGTGAATTTTTGATCTTTCTTTTCGCACTATGCAGCAAAATCACTGACTATGAAATGTTACGCTGACAACCATATGGGTAAATTGGAGAGGGCGGGTTTTGCTAAATTTATGTGGGAAATGAAGAGCAATAGATGGCATAGTATGCTATATAATTTATTTTCATATCATTCATAGTTGGCATTATTTCATTCATTGCTTGGAATGATAGTTATATAACTGGCTGACGGTACAGTATTTGACAGGTATTCTTCATGAATGATGTACACAGTTCATTCAGTGTCATTTCATTATGTAAGGATTGGTTTCATTGATGAATTTTCCCTCGAACATCATAGGATGTTATAAATTCATCCGATTTTTGCTGTTGTTATTCAAAGAAAATGTATTTTTGTTTCCTTGCATTCGCTTCAATATTTTCAGTTAATTTTGCTTAGCCCTGGAAAAGAAGATTGCTTAATGTTTTTTAAATGGATGGGAAAAATAAGAATTAATGTGAATATAAACTATGACAGTCCTCATTGTAACTGAAAAATCATGGTACATTATCATCCCTATGAAGCTCTATTTTGATGATTCCTTTTACTGCAATGAAAGAGAAGGAAGAAGTTGAAAGGCAAGATAAACAACTTATATTTTCCATATCATTAATTTAAACAAGTTACCATTTTGTGGAGAGTGAGATTATGTCTGTAATACCAGTTCCTCCCCCTTCCGGAAGGCCATTTCACGTTTCAAATTAGAGAATTATCATTCAAAACAAAGTATATATTCTAAAAGTGAATATGACCTTATAAGGACGAGCTACAAAGATTTTGAGGCTCCCCAAATAAAAGCATGGAATTAAGATGAGCAAGAAAGTCGTGTTCATTTTTGCAATGAAAAAGTGGAACGATTATAAATATATGCCTAAGAGATATGCAAAGTTTAAGAGCCTCTGTAACTGAAGTTTCATTTAAATCTCGTGAGACGGGAAATTATTTGGATATATTGAGAACAGAAGTATTGGAGATGCACGGTAAATATTTAAGCCGTAAAAGATTATGAAAAAATTTTCCACTGCTAGTGTAAACAACGTAAGTAATGAATAATGATTGATTTAATTACTGTTGTTTTCTACACGACTATCTGGAAATCCGATCATCTTCTGAAACGATTTGTACTGTTTAGGAAATAATTCCATAGGCCTAGTAATTTTGCAATCATATAAAAATTGAACCTTTCTATTAGATTCTCCGTCAAGTTTCTGCTTTTTACTATTGTTAATAATGAATTAAATGTTCAATAAGTATTCAAACAACATTTTTGTTTACGAATTACCAACACCAACTTTATAGGCAGTATGCCTGCTCGAGAAAATACTCTTGCTAATTCACCGCTCCTTTCCTTCCGTTCAACTGTATCAAAATTACCAACAAATTTTCCATTGACATATAGCTGTGGTACCGTTCGAATGCCACCATTTCTACGTTTGAGGTAATCCTGCAAAAAATATGCAATTCCAGAAGGTAGCAAGAATCGAACCTGCAGCAGATAAGTTAATTTAAAAGCTTACACAATGGTACGCTTTATTATGACAATATGATTTCGTTTGAATAATAGTCTACAGTTTATATGGTTTGTGATTTTATCTGTAAAGGTACGCAAAAGTTTTGTAAATTTAGCGAAATTTAACTTTTGGTTTGTGAGTTGAATTTAGGGGTGTTAAAATTATCAGAATTATGGAAGTTTTCTTAAATTTTACGTTAATTTTAAAAATATAAATCATATATTCTTTTGAGTACGTTGTAATATTCAAATGTCCTTGTGGCATTTTTTGCTACCACACTAAAAATATGAAATGATCGTTGTCAAGCAGAATAAAGATAAATTCGAGAAATAGACATTTCAGATTGTTTGTAACTGTTTATATCGTCATATTTATAAGAAATTTTTAAAAGTTTCCTGTATGATGAAGAATATATTGCGTATCATGAAAGTGTTGATACGATATGGTTGCAAAAAACATTGTTGATTAGATCATGATAAGGCGTGAGTTAATGTTATTATATTGAAGGTATATATCATCAAATCATTATAACGAGACCGACATTTGTCTTGGATTCGATTGAGTTTTTCCATAAAGTGAAGGACTTAAAGGTGATTTCAATTTCATACGCAGTGAATTTGGAAATTTTAGTAGTAATGCTTATGTCAAGAAACGCTAAATAATAATAATAGCTGTTTTGAGAAAATTGTACTTGGAAGTTTCATATAATATTCAAATATATACCAACAGTGCAGATGTATTCTATTAATTATCAGCTTATCACTCTATCAGAATCGATGAATGTCGTCGAGTATTATTTCTTTGATTCACAACTACGTCAATTTTAACTCAAAGAGCAACATATTTTCGATTGAAATGTATTTGGTAATAGTTAACAAGCGTGAAATGTTCAAAAGAGGCAGATTTCTAGAAAATTCTTCTTTGATTTAATTTTTCCAACTAATGGTTTTCATAAAATTGTGGAACAACGATTTCCTGTAGTAACATGCATCTCTTCCCTAATAAAGTGAAGCGGTATGGTAAAGAGGAAAAAGCATGGATAAAGAACTCATTATAGTTAAACTTGCATAGATTGTGGTGATTTACAATTTATGCCTCCATTCTCTATTACAGATACCAACTCCTATTTGATAAGGAATGATTTCCTTCATCATTTCTCCATCATATTGTCTCAAATATTCTGGCAAGTCAACTTTTTTTTTCACCCGTAGTGAAGAATGATGTGTTGATAAAGCAGTGAAGTTGCTTTTAGAAAAGTGAAATTGGTACAGGTGAATTAGAATGAAACGTTCCAATTAAATTAGAATTAATTCTTCTTTAGGCTTTCAGACAAACATCATTGACGACAGTAATTTAAATAATTTTATATGTATCTGTTGCAGAAAATTATTTTCTCAAAGAAATTTTGTGCAAATGCTAAAGCAATATTTTTTTGATAATTTAGTTTGATAAGATTCATTCAATTTTGAAGTATAGAAATTACCTGCATCGATTGCATGTTGGGTTCAAGATTAAGCTCTATAACTCTTTTGTCTTTGATATTGTACTTTCCTATTAAATGTTTCAGTTTAGTGCTGTATTGGCAGTAAGTCTTTGAAAAAAGCACCACTTGATGATTTTGTATCATCTTCTCCAAATACCATTCTACATCGTGCCAGCGGCTTCCACTGATTCGATGAAATTGTAACTAAAATGGATCAAAATTATTGATTTATCAAATGTCTCATTGGTTTTTTTTAAATTATTGGTTTTATCAACTTTTATTTATTGATGTAGAAAATACTGAGTAAATTCAAAATTTTAACTAGTACATACTGATAAGTAATTAAAAACTCCAGGCTGTATTACTAAGTAACTAAAGAATTCAAATTGTAGAGGGAAAAAAAAATCGAATTTTTGTTTTTGCGTAATTGAAGTACAAAGAATTTCCACTATCAAACACTAAAACAATTCTAGAGTGAACAAAAATTTTAGTTTTTACTTATAATTGCCTTGTGAAACTAAATTGATCTTCCCAATTGGCCTAAATTATTCATTATTTAAAATCTTGAAATGAGCGTTTTTTTGACGAAATTTAGCTTCGAATCCTTACTGCTGAATAATTTAGGTCATTGATATCTTTCGTTACATTATTATTGATACCTTTCGCTTAAATTCTAATCTCTTATTCAAATTCTGGTCTTGCAAAATGAATACTAAATTTACGATTTTTAATAATTTTATGAATATGTTAAATTATTACCAGTATCAAGAAGATTGATAGGAAATATTGTGAATGCGTCATCATTCCAAGGACATATGATAACGTTATATATATATATATATATATATGTATGATAACGCAAGAGCAAATCCAAAATTAAGATGAAATTGAATAATGTTTCACTATAATGATATGCAATACTCAACTAGTAGATGCACTCGACGAAATACCGTTACTTATCAGAAGGTTCTGTTGCTTATCAGCAGGAGGCTCAACTGTTGCCGTATCTGACGTACAGAAACTTCCTGATATCACACTCTTGAACTAAATGAAACAATCATCCGTATAATATTACCTCTCATTCTCCAATAAATGAAGCTTTCAAATTGCGCGCTATTTTAAAACATTTTTTTCCACATTATCTGATTTACTGATTCAGAAACCAAAAAACTGAAGGATCTGTGTGTAGAATAAATGCAATAGTAAAAGGGATTGTAAGTGATGCAGTGATTGTAAAGCGCAAAATATATAGCAGTAGAGTGAGATGCAATGACACCATTATTGCATATGTCTGCTTAAAAAAATTATTTTATCAATCCAATGTTTAATTATTTAAATAGTTCAAACAAATCGAAAATTTTTATTTCATAAATTAATGTGTGAAACAATTTCAGAGGAGGGATTGGAAGTGTAATGCGTTTGTCTGCAGTGGAGAGAAAGTGAAATCAAATCTATCATTGTGACTAGTGGGTAGGTAGTAGTGTAACGTTGATGGATATTGCAACTGCGTCATCATGCAAGTAAATCGAAGACGATGCAAACTGGCACGATTAGAAGCAAAAAAAAACGAAAAGCCGGATGGAGCGAGTTTAGCTGCAAACGACAAACGTCGGCAATAGTTACCAAGTGTGCAGAAGGAAGAAGGGTGAGACAAAAATCATTGGAGATAAAATTTTACAGTCCATCCAGCGTCCTTCTCATATTTCTCTTTACTCAATCGTCGACATTCAGTGTTAATAACTATCATTGGCCGATTTTCCGAATCACTACCATCCTTAACCTAATACTTCAGTTTCATCTCTTAGGTTGTATGCTTCTCTACACATTTCCGCCACTCAATATATTTGAACTGGTTATTTTTATTGTAATTTTCTTCAGAAAAAGAAAAAAGTTCATTCGTTGTTTTATTCGAAATTATCTGAGGAGACGACAAAGTTTAATAAAGCAAAAGGAAATTTTCAATTTCAAGGCAAAAATAAAAAGAATAATTGATGCAACAAAATGAGTAAAATACATTGAGTGTTTCAATGATAATTAGTTTAATTAAAAAAAATTAATGTAAATAAGTATCGTAGGAAATATCGTAAGAGAGGAGAAATTTTTAAATTTTTTCTCACCATATTTCAGCTTCAAAATATTCTTTTTCCTTTTTTAAAGACTGCAAAGAAAATTTCCTTCACTGATGAAAATTGAAGGAGACGATAACGAAAAATTATTATTCACGTTTTTTTATCCCTTCAAAATTCTTCGTTAATAATAAAATAAATTTAGCAATTGACTGTGTGTCTCCCAGTGGTGCTTGGTATACCGACTTTTACACTTGCCGGAAATTGGAAAGTGAGGAGTAGAAATGTCGGCTTTGGCAGTTTTTGTCTGAACATTCCCATTTCCGGCATTACAACACTGATATTAAATGTCAATTCAGAAAGAACCGATTCAGCAAATATTGTTTAAATATTTCAACTCATAACCTAAAATCAACAACAAATGCTAAATATACAAAATTAAATGCGCAACAGAATTTCTAAATTTCTGATACCATTGGTTGCTCAGGTGTTGTGTACCATACTGAAAATTTTCTGTTGTTCCTCTCTTTTGCTATGTAAATTTCAAAAGTGCTGATTGAAAATATTTGGGGTAATTACTAGTGATCCACTCTTCCATAAACGCTAGAAGATTTTAACAAAACATAAATCCATTCTTAATAAAATATTTTTGACAAATAAATATTAGTCCAGAAAAAATTTGGGAAAAATTGAGAGAATAGAAGGAAAAATGAAAAAGTAACATTACGAATCAAATTTTTAAATGAATGTTAAAATGTAAAATCGTTCCATCATTTTTTAAGTATAACAGAACAAATTTTGAGACGTTAAATTAATCAATCATATGTACAAGCAAGCAACTCTTAATAAACGGATTATCACCTTTTCTCCAATTTTATATTGAAGAAAAATTTTGTAAGAAACAACCGATATCAAGAAGTCCTTTATTGCGTTGATATGAAAGTTTTGCCTTTCCAAGAAGTTAATCAAATATTTAGTGCAACTAAATTTTCTCATTTATTTATTCCATTTTGCTAATTTATATACATTGCAACGTATATGCTCAAAATTAACTTTAAAAAACAACTGTAGATGGAGTGAAACAAAAAGCGGAAAGCAGAAAATCAAATCGTACACAAAATAGAAAAGTGAAATATTTATTCTCTGATAAATTAAAATAAAATAAAATTTTATAGTTGGCGTTAAACACTGCATAATTGCCTTTTACCGGAAGTGCTACAATGGATGTGTATTTAAATAGAATATTAACCAAAGATTCCTGTAATAGCTCTATTTTTTGATTTTAATGATTTATTAAAATTAAAATTCAAATCGCTGAAAAATATAGTGTTAAGGAAATGATATACTGATTTTTATTTATCAGACGGAAGTAGCACTTAAATTATTTGGAAAAGTTTATTACAAGTTCAAATATCTGAAATATCAACAAGAATCTGAGACTATTATTTTTGTTTACTACTCTTCCATTGGTATATTTTGGATTTTGCCTTACTCTTTCTTTTGTTAGATTCTACTACTGATTCTGCTTAACTCTTTAAAAAACGAAAAAAAAAAACAATAAATAAATTATTAAAAGAAAAATAATTTTAATAAAATTTTATTCTTCTATTTCCTGACCTAAACAATGGTAATCGTTTAAATTATCTGATAAATTTTTCAAATGGCAATTACAATGCAATCATATTAAACTATCATTAAAGTCTTTAAAACCCATCAAATTCAAACAGATTCGTTAAAATTATTTATTTCATCTTTACATTATCGCTATTCATCCATAAACCATTTCACTTTCATTATCATTATCATTCTGCAGTTACTTCTTCAGCGCTTATTTCTGATCAAATTTTCTAGAAAGCTGAAAAAATGAATTTTACTTTCTGATTCGAAGCAATGGCAACAGTTTTTTGATATGCCTATCATTTTCAAAATTTGCAGTTTCATATTGATTTTCTAAAAGAAGGAGAAATGAAAGAAATAGCAACATGATTTATTATTAAAATGGATTCGATAATAATAAGTTGGTAATATAGAAAACATGTTTGCAAAAATATTTAGATTTTTAAGAATTCAACTTTTGAATTTTGGTTTAAGTCTAAACTTTATCTTTGTCATATATTCAATTCAAAAAAGGATTAAAATTTCTTTAGATTATGTTAGTATAATGGCATGATGATAAAATTACTTTTCTCATCAATTTCTAAGGCAATCAAAGAAATCCTGCTGGTTGCATTAATCTATATTTCAAGCAATCAGTGATGAAGCGAGTCTCTACATTGAAAAAGTTATATTCATCAAATTAAGACCTCACTCATCTTATTAACTATTCATATATTTCAAGCATAAAATTGGAAATTGATGCATTACCTGATCGTTGGAAATATGATATCTCATGAGGAAACGTTTAAATCTGAAAAGTGTTAAGACTAAAAATCAGTATAAAAGCAAAGTTCATTTGATTGATTGAAATTTTACTTCTTTTGCCTTTTTAAGTCTTTGAAAATTATGCTCCTTCTAAAATGCTTATATTTTAACAGAAAATAACCAAAACATTAAATTTCCGCCCAGTAATTTCTCTTTAATTATTGATTCTCTTTTATCATCGCTTTATTGATAAGCCTTAATTGAATTGATATAAAATTTTTCTCTTTTCAACAGAATCATATCATTCTCAGCTTGGATTTAATTTTACTTAAAAGTAAGGAGTAGCAAAAAGTTTCTTTACATTTTCCATTCTATCCATCCACTTTCAAATTTAGCTGGTTGAACTGAAAATTTAGAAAAATTTGACCAATGGGATTATCTTTGAAACTTACGTTTTCTGAAGTTTGTTTTTCATCTTTTCTCTGATTTTATTTAGCATTTCATTCACTCCTACTTTTGCTAAATCAATCTCATACATTTTATATTCTGCTTCCAATTATTCTGCTTTACAGGTTATAAAGTTATATTTTTAATTCCCACTTAATTCCATTTAAGTTTTCCAGCTAACATTATTGTTTTTTTTTCCACTGACCAAATTAATAAGTACGACTGTCTGCTTTGTGCATAATTTTTCCTACACTGTAAAAAAATCATTTAAGTTCATTTCATCTATTCTTGATTGCCAAAAACTTCATTTTTTGATAAATCTAAAATAGGAATTTTCAAATGAAAAATGAACTGAAAGTGGAAAAAAGATCTGACATTAAATGATCTTATCTTCTAAGCAAAATCAACTTCGAATGTTTGTTTGAAAAAAAAAGTCTTTCCTTTTAGTTTTAAGAATTAGTAGTAAATCTTTAGAGTATACTGCTGAGTAAAATATTGTTGGCTATTATCTTTTAATAAATAAACATAAGCGGATATTTCATTTTATATAAAATCTTCATAATCACAAATATCCTTTATGTAAGAAAAAAAATCTTTATGTCGTTTTTATTTATTATCGTGGAGTTAACATTGCCAGTTCGTGAGAGTGAGAATAATAAATTTATTAGAAAACTCTTTTATATTTTCATTTTTGCTATTTAATTGAATAAAATTAGTACATTTCAAAGCGTATGCATTAGATTGGTAATTACCATTTTTAATTATAAACTTTAAATTGTTTCAGATAAGTTTCAATTTAACTTTATTAGTAGAAATATTAAAAATAAGTACGCAGCAAATAATGAATGAATTGTTGCCTGAAAAAAAACATAAGATTGTTAAATTAAAGTATTAAAATGATATAGCAACTAACTATTTTGTTATCTAAATAGATATATAGCAAGCATTCCCAATCTTAATCAGAAGTGAAATTAAATGCATATGTCCAATAAGCAGTAGTGGTATAATTTTTAGGAGATGAGCTTTAACGAAATGATAGTGAAGTATGTTTGATATTTTGAAACTACTAGTATTTAAGCGCTTTCTATGGTCACAATCAATTAAATTTTCCCACATTTCATTGATTCTCCAATATCAATCCGAAAATTTGTGAAAATTTTTGAATTTTTAACAATTTACAAAATTTTTGAATTAAGAAATTTAAATTTTTAAGTCGAATTTTAATATCAAAAAGATTTATTCTTTCTATTTTAGCATTTTGCAGGTAACTTCACTGAGTTCAATTCCTATTCTTGTTTATAGTACAGAGAGATAAATGAAACTGAAAATAATTTTCAAAAACATTGGAATATATCGGTATAATGTTAAAATTAGGCCAAAAAAATAAATTCGCTGATTTCATGATTGTTACTTACCTTTGCCATAAGTATTCGTGGAGGAAATCCAAATTAGCTGAATATTTTAAAACTGTGCAAGTTAGTTTTTCAAAATTTTCGAACCATAAAACAATGACATACACTAAGCAACAAAGTGACTTGTTGCCAAACAATTATTATACCTTTAAAAAGACTTCGAATTATATTATGAATTTAATTATTTGCAGCTGATTTTGATAAATCCGTAATTGTCATTAGCGCCAATACAAAGTGATAAATTAATTTTTGTAGATTCTATTTTTGTAGATTCTTTCCATGTTAGCAATAAAGTATTTGATTCGACAGGTATAAAACAACTTAATAATAATTAAAAAGTATAAAATAAAACCAGACTTTAAAGTGTAAAATAAGTGATTATGATATAACGAATTCCATAATCATTCATTGAATGTTGTTCATGAGTGCCGGTAGGGAAAGTTTTTCCAAAAGTCCTTTTAGCACTTTTTCAGGTTTTTCTCAATCAGCAACCTGATTAGTTAAGCAATAGTTGAATTGATCAAATTATTGTTGGATTTATCAAGTTAGCAGTATAATTTACTGATAAGAAATGAATCGGATTAAAATGCATGCATGCCCTAGTGGTGACTGTAACAAATATTTCTTCAATTTCATTCCTGTAAAAGTGGTTTTGGAAAAAATTTACGAGTTTTACTTGTATTCCAGGAATTACATCGGCCAAGCAATTCAAAATTATGATCCCCAGCTGGCTTCAATTTCTGAACAAATCGCCGGATAAATCAAAATGTAGACCTTGCATTAAATAATGTAAAAAAGAATTTATGAGTCTTTTTAGGAAAAAAAGAGTAGTTTTAAAAAAAATTCAACATTTTAATGAATATTTTGAAATCACCTTTCGTTGCAGTTATTATAGATCTAAAGAAAAACTATCACATTGTTTTTCTGAAATTAAAAATCATTTCACATGATCTATCTAAAAAAATGGGAAATTCAGGATTACGGAAAGTTTAAAACAAAATTGAGAAATTAAGCAGATGAATACAATATATATTCGAGATTCATGATAATCTTTGGAAATATATCTCGTGGCTGCTTCAATTTTACAGCATAATTCGCTGTTAAGATTAAGATCTGATTTTTTTGCTAATAAAATTTAAATGAAATATCGCTCAATCATGTCACTTGTCAATATTACGATTCTAACATTCATAAGTTCTAAATTTTCGTAAAACAATAACATTATATCAATTCAAATTGTTAATCAAATCAATATCATAAATCAAAAATAATGAAGGGAAGAATGAACGCCAATTTCATTCAGTTCGATGCTTTATAAGAGGGCAACAGAATCTTGCATATTTGCTTGCAGTTCATCATTCAGGATTATATCACGAAATGAAAATTGATTGAAATGTTAATTTAGCAATAATCTATTGGCTTTTACTTTTTATTTTTGAATGAAGTGAAAAATGTTTTACCAATTCTTAGGCAATAGATAAAGAAATGTTTGAAATCCTCTGACTTCGGGAGTGTTGTCGAACTTTTCCATTACAGCTATTAGTCCAAATGTTAGCAGGCGCGGTGCATCCTTCATTCAGTAAGTGCTAAGAAGAGAGGAGGTAGCTATTTCGGTTCAACGCAATTCCCGTAACTTTCTAATGCTTCTCAAGAAACAGACCACACATGTACAGCTTTCATACGGGAAAGCAGAAAAGAATACGCCTATCGATTTCAACCATCCAATCCGACAAACACAAATCGAAAAGATTAGAAAAACAGTAAGAAGCGCAGAGCATACATAGAGACAACAATAAAACTCATCGCTTTTCATGAAAAAATGAGTTGAAAGTTGTGGAAGGATAATAAGCGGTAGCTAAAATTGCTGAATAACGCCGAGAAAGTGGAGTCGTTACGATCAAATCTTACTTCTGACATCGAAACTATGGGTGACTACAGCTATGGTTTGTCTCGGGCGCAATCGACGACACTTCTTCACTCATACCGTCCCAGAATACTAGTAACTTTTCTTTTTTTCTTTTTCGGTGGTTATTAAATTTCACAATAAGGAAATATTTGAAATGGCATTGATTTTGCCGAATGGAACTGACAGAAAAGTGCTTCTTTCGAAAATTTAACCATTAGGCTTTCTGTTCTTTTTATATATTTTAATCCATCAAATCAGCTAGTTGTATATTGAAATTCATTGATTCTAAATTTTGCAGGTAACGCGCGCAAAATCTCTGCCAGATCTTGTGAATTATGTAAGAAAAAGCAGCAAATACAAGCCTCAATGGGGCTATACATTCTGGCCTAACTACGACCTGGTAAGATCAAAAACTTTCATTGCAATTAAATTTAACATGAGCTAACCTACAAGGAACTTTTTCGCATTCAGTATGGATTTCACTTGTCATTGAAATTGTTGTTCTAGTACGATGACTTTTGGCACGATCGTTACAGTGGATTTAGACCACTTTATAAAAGTTCATATTATCCACGTCGTTATTATCATCCGGATGTAATGCCCAATCCGCATTACTGGAGTGGACCATATACCGCATGGGCAAAAAATAGAGGATTTTGGTAATTTGAATTTTAAAGAAATTATTGCAATTTTTAAGTGTAAAAGATAGCGGACTACTCACATGCATTCATCGATTCGGATATTCCGTTACATATGAATTTTGAAGAGCTGGATTTATCCCAATATACTGGTAACGGTGAGATATCTTTGCATGGGAACCACCTATAAAAATCCGAGGGTAGTACAAGAATCGTAATGAAAGAAGGTGCTCTTGTCATCTACCCATTTTCCAGAAAAGGATTATGACAGAATGATTATGACGGAGGAGTTCGCATGATAATTACTACTGCTGCATCTAATTGTTGCAATCTTTCAATCCGTACCATAAATTCACTAGTTTTTATCAACATCGTATTCAAAGAAAAATTATTTTCAAGAATTTCAGGTACGACTATAACTCACCGTACTACTACCGAAGATATTTCACTTATTATGACGACTATCCACGCTACCTCTACAGTCCCTTTCGCACCAGAAACTACGCACTTACAACATTTTACGGTCGTTATTACTGAAAATTGAAGCACTCCATCCTTCAATAAACTTCTCGTGATGTATAAATCTCTCAAAGCGGCTTTTAGCACATTTTCACGGGAAATTTCGGACCTAAACATATATCCTCGACCACTAAAATCCGAACATATTTTGACTTACTAAATTTAGGGGTATGCTCAAGTCAAACTTCTCTATTAACCAATTTGGCTATTGATGACTCCCAATTCCAGGTTCGCTCTAAACTCATGTCATGCATTAAGCTGTTTCCTTTAATATGTATCAAATAACAAACTTATCTTTTGTGACCCGAACAATAGGTGGTACTACGCTAAAAAAGGAACACAATAGCTTGATGTTATAAGACAATATTTATCTCCCAACTTTTCCATCACGTTAGAAACCATGTTTTCCGAATATCACAAATTTCAGATTAAAATGAACACCAAACTTTATTGCTATTTTGATCTTTTGCCGGTTACAATCAAATGCTTAAAAACAAACATCATAAATTAAGTATAAAGCAAATCTTATTAAATAGCGAAATCACGACATAATTCTTATAAAACGACAGCTATAATGAAGAACTAATAAAACAAGAAACAATAATATCACAGACATGTAACAAAAACAGAGAAGCTAATATACAAAAAACAAAGAAAATATAATGTCTAGCTTCCTGAGGTCAATTATTCATTATAGATGCTGTATTTGAAAGCAATTACATCCGGGTAATTCTAGCAATGCTTGTCAACAATCCTGAAAGTTCGCCATCTGCAAAAGATGGGAGAATGGGCAGCACTCACCAATATCATTGGAAACTGAAAGCACTGCTGCTGACCATATGGCACAGACATCATAGAGCTGCACACCACAGAGAACAACGCATAAAAGGATGAAAACGATAAGGGATTATAAGTAATAAATGTAAGATATCTTATGGAAGGAATTCGAAATGGCCATAATCTTTAGCGGATTTTAAAATTACATCTGATCAAGAAAGAACGAAAAAGACGAAACTGTTCATAACTGAATTCAAAATCAAGACAATAAGAATAGAAATAACAAATTTTTAAAAACTCTAAAAACAAATCTGCCACAATAATGTCACTGACAACGAGTAAAAACTGATGCATTACCATTATAACAAATCAAAAATGCGTTATTTTCCATGAGGATTTCACATATTAGACAAGTACAAAACATGCTCTTGCGATGGAACCTCCGGAACCCCACCATTTAAATCTTTTTTAGATGCTTAGGCTTATAAAAAAATGTGTACTTTACCCATTTCTTGAAAATGAATACGTATTATTCCATTGGTAACAAGATCACTGATCATGTTTTGACTTAGATCAAAAAACACTCGGTTAACAGCTGCATGCACAGACATAAATAACCACTTTAAAATACGAATTTTTTTAAAAAATATGCACAGTTACGGATTAAAGTTTAAAAAGGCCAAAGGAAGCACGGATCAAAGCGTGATGATGGAATTTACTTCCGAAAGGTATCTTTTCAATACTTTAAAGTTAAATTAACAAAAATCATACTAATTATCATCATATATCCACCAGCACTAATATTCTAAGCACGCTACTGCAAAGAATTGATGCAGACCAGTCAAAGCTAAATCTTGAAAAATTGTACAGATTATATTAATAATTAAAGGAATGATGCATTTTCACTGCTTTTGTAAAAATTAATTCTAAAGCAATGATGGAATAATCAAGAGAAAACTACACAACATAAAAATCAGCGGCAAACAAGATTAGAATACCTACAATAATATTGCTAACTCAGATAAGTAAAGAAGAGAATGAAACAGGATTCTAGCAAAGCAAGTGACCTTACGAGAAAATTCGAAAAACTCAGGAATATTAAATAAAACATGATAAAATGTGTGAATAAAAAACAAATAATATATTAAAAAAATACTGCCTAGACGTTTGATATGCAGTTAACTAAGTAATTTAGGACCAACAAATTTTAACTGCACAAACAAACCATTCATTCAATTTACCACCAACTCCACCCGACAAAAAATTTGAAAAATGTATCCAACTAACAATGCAGAATGCAAATATTACAGCAGTAAAACATCGCATAAATATCTTAAAAACAGATAATTTAACGATATAAAAATAAATTTAGTTATTTGAAATGTATAAAAATAATCATGCATAGAATAAAAGAGAAAGAGATACCAAGTATAAAAACAAGCGACAAGCTTTCACATTTGCAAGAATCACACTATCAACAGCAATTCTTGTTAAAGATGCTCGCATGAATGGTTCTATATAATACGCAGCCGTTCATGAGCACTGTTGGATCCACCACTCCTGGTTGGAATCAAATTTAAAGTTTCACTTGAAACCAGCATCCTGTTTTGTTAACTTTAAGTAATTAATACTTGAAAGAAAAAAAAATGAGACGAATATTTGAAGAAAATTTCTCGACATGAGTTACAACTCAAACATAATAATTGCAAAATTAATTGTGCCAAAAACTACAGAAAAGAAGTAGTGATAATAAATTAGTAAGATGTCAATAGAAAAAAATTCACTTCAAAACAAAATATTATCTAAATGCAAAGAAATTCAGAAGAAATATTTAGATAATGACAGAAAGAATTATCAAGAAAACAATCGATATATCTAAAATAACTTCAATAGTGTGTTTGGAAAAACGTAATTGTGGAAAAACGAATAAGAATTTTGAGGAAGTTGGACCTAATCATGATCACTGTCAATGGATCTAAAAGAATGCAAAGAATTTTTCAATAAGCTCAGAAGACTGATAACCGTGCGCAGTGTGCTCCTATACATTATTTTAAGAAACTAGAATTACTGTAAAAATATTGCTGAAGAAGTCTAATCGACCCTTCCTAAGATCCAAACAGAGGTTGCAGCTTAAAATATTAAACTCATGCTCCATAAAGTATAATACCCAATTTGATGGTTGTGAAACTATAAATTATTATATATTCAAAAATAAATAAGTGAAAGCACACTGTACCCGCATCTGAAAATAAGATTTTGACTGCTATCTGGCCGATATCTTGCTAACTTAAAATTCCTGCACAGCGAAAGGTCGTCTCGGGAAAACACGCAGCTCCGAAAGCTTATCTATTCGCTGTGATAATTCTTCTAGTCGTTTTAGTGTTGGTTTTACGTACACGTAGACGAATTCAGCTACTGTATCATTGTAGAAAACGGTTTGCATTTCAGCCCTAAAGAAAGCCTGTCTTCAATTAAGTGCTCTAGTGAGTTCATAGTATCACTAGAAAACAAAAACCTGTAAACGTCGAGTTAAATTAACTTACCTGATATTCTGCTCGCAAACCTCCATTTCACGAAGGAACGACTTCACCTTGTACAGTACTTGATCAAGATACCAAGCTTGTGTGTATAAGTGTTTTTCGTTAAATCTTGCTATCCATCCACGAACCTTAAGAACAATATTTAATTCTTTATTAAGCTGTTTTAAAAACTGAAACAGACCTGATAATCATTGAAAACTTGTTCTTCAACTGAATTGATTGTAGAATGCAATGTCTGAACTGCATGGAAAATGTGAACACCTAAAAAATATTGTGAATGAGTTTTATTCATTACATACGAATAAGGCATAAAAATTCAGATCCTTAAATATTTGTGTGTATATTGTTTGCAGCGCATTGATTTGCGTAATTTATTCTATCCATAAATCAAGTAATAACTTTCCAGAATTTCCAAATCTGAGCTTGTGGAATATAATTCAAAAATCCCTTCAAACATTTAAAAGAACTGAAAAAACCGGTACCAGGAAAACTACACTGCGGTATGAAAGGAGATGAACTTTTGTCGAAATATAAAACCGAAGAGCACTTCAACAATTGTGAAACTGACCGCATCACTAAATTTTAAATTTAATTAACTTTTTACAGCCTTGTAAAAAATGAAGTTAATATATTGAGAGCAATATGATTTAAGTTAACTGAACATCCAGCAAAGAACAAATCTAAAGAATGTGTTTTTATCTACAAATCATCGCAATGCATGGAAGCATTTCCCAGCTAAAATTTTCCATGAACCAAATCTGAATTGTTACCCTCAGAACCATATTGACCACTTTTCAAAACAGCCATGTTTACAGCAGCAGAAAGAAGACCAACAGGTATAACTTCGCATATGACGGCGAAATGATCGAACCTGATAATGATTAGCCGTTAAAAAATGTAAAGTTCAATAACTTGAAAAAACACATACTTAATATGGATAAGCACTACTGGATCTTTCATTCATAAATACTTGCATTAAAAATACTTGCTTTGGTTAATAAAGTCACCTCCACTTTTAGTGTATCACGTAATTGTACAAGGCTTCGAATAAGCAATTTTGCACCAAAAAGTAACAACAATGATCGTAATTTTTTTATAATAACTAGAAACACTAAGAACAAGAGTGAGTTCTCTAATGTATCAAAGCATGACTGTCACAGGTACTGTCCTATAAAAAAAAATTTCCATTATAGTCGCATAATGCCTGCAACTGAAAAAGGTTAACCTTTGCCAACCGGTTACAATGATACCTCGAAACTGCTTGAATTTGGAATGATGTTCATTCATTTGTTTCAGCCAACTTATGTGATTATTCAAGTAATGCTGAACATTAGAAGCATACTGATCTGGGCCATCAGCACCTAAAATGAGCGCAAATAACATCTTACGAAAACATCCTTTAAGCAGAGAAAAATTACTTGTTGCAAAACAAATTTACAACACTCTATAATTTTGAAAACTCAACTTTGTAAGCAGAAGCTCCCCAGACGTATGAAAACATTGACGATAATCGCTGCCAAAAATCAGGCAACAACTGGTTATCCAAATTTTCCATATAATTCCACACTACTGGCTCGACCAATTTACTCAAACTAAAAATATTTACAAATGAGATGATACTGTGACTGCAAACCACTGACTGCTATTTGTTAAAATTACGTAATGCATTTTATTATTTCTTAAACTTATATGTTTAAGAATTGTTAAATTATGCTTAATTGGGTTTTTAAAATCATAGCAAATGGTAAAACACTTGACAGTACCAATACTGAAAATGTTCAACTCATATGAAGTCATTTAAAACACCAACAAAACCAAACAAAAAATACCTACCCATGCTTCAAGACACTTTGTGTTTGTGAATTTATTAGCATATCGTGCCAAATCAATACACTCAGTTTTTTCTTTGGAATTTGAGCCTAAAATCCAGTATATTATAGATTAACAACAAGCAAGGAAAAACTGAAATACGTTGGATACTTTTTTGATATCACTTTGATAGAAAACTGAGTAAAGGGAATTTGATGAAATATCTAACGGGGAAAAATTTTTTCCAAGAAAACACAAACCTTGACGAACTTCGCTATTCTCGAGATGTGTTTGAGGAGCAAGAACTCGGTATCAACGTTATTGTTTATCATATAATTTCTGTCCTTTTCACATCGACCGATCTAACACAAAGTATCAGTTATGGATTACATCGAATATTTTTATAATTCCACTGCTTTTTATCACTAACTATCAACAAAATTGGCCGTAACTATAAAAACCTTGAGCCATTGCTGTATCGTTCATATGAATCAAGCCGTGAAATAGATAAACAATCTAAACTGCAGTAAAACAAACCTGAAAAACCTCATCTGCTCCAATGTGGAAATATTTCATAGCAAAATCTTTATGCAAATTTAATATTTGTCTCAGTGCTTCTTGGACCAAATCAACTGCTCCTTCATCCGTCAAACAAATGACCTAAATTTAGTTACGGGTAAAAATATAAATATGTCTCGGAATTACATATAAACAGAACTTCCTCATTAAAATACAAAAATCCTAACAAACATAAACTGTTAGCCATACCTGTGGATACCGTTCCTCCTCGCGATATTTAGAGAAGTTCGGGTATTTCAAAATGTATTCCAGATGACCTACTGTTTGAACAAGAGGTATAATGTCTAAATTATGTGTCTGGATTGCATGAAGAAAGCGACGTAACTCATCCAAAGTATATGCATTGCCAGCTTTTACCCCACTTAGTTTACCTTCAAAATCTATGAATTAATGACAAAAATGGCAATAAAATCTCTTAAATACAGAGCCCGTACTGAAAAATGGAAGATGACCTACTGCATGCAGTGTCGATGCGATCATTACTAACACGAGAATGATAAAAAAGAACGAAAAACAAATTCAATAAAATTTATTAGTGCAATATGAAATTGTTAATACGATCACAGCATGATGTTCAAAAAAAATGAACAGAAGAAAAAAAAATAACATACGCACCTGTAAATGGAAACATATCTTCATATTCGATCATTATTCCTGTTGCTCCAATTTGTTTGATGAATGGAACAAGCTTCAATAAATAGTCCATTTTTGGTGCTGCGCCTTTCAAATCCAAGTGAAAAATGCGATTTGCTATAAGCGATATAGTTCACTTTTCTCCATTAAGCATAACAGAAATTATGTAAGCAAAATTAATTCATTACAGGAATCCACAAATCAAGGATGTTATCACTTCCTTTTTCTACTGACTTAACAAGTTCAATGAGCATAGTTATGTCAAGAAAATGTCCAAAATTAAGCAAAGAAAAAACAACTAAGAGTTTCTTTCGAACTTACGTGCAATAAAATAATTTTGTGAAAAAGATGGCATATGTAATACTTTCTGGACGCCAGGATCGCGATCAGCGACAAGTCCTTCAGAATTCTCCAGACTGTCTCTCTGAATTACAAAAAGTGGAAGTTACAAGGAAGAATAAGTCTTGAAAAATTGTGGTGTGAGAAGTAACGGTAAAATCAAACAACGAAAAAGGCTGAAGTTGAATATTTCAAATTTTGAGATACTGTCAACTTTTCCTTCTTTCCTTCTTACTAATTTCAGGGAAAAAAAATAAAAGCTGACAAAAGTAAACAGACTGAAGTCCGACACAATATAAATAAATAAAGCTTTTTATAAATAAAGTTAACAACCTTTACTCCATTAACTTTCATTCTCGGCTGGGCTTTACGCGATACATTACGCTGCATTCGCGATCCACTCTAAAAATTTTTTTGCAAAATCCAATATGGCATTTTCGTAGTATATCAAATTTGCTCTTTTATATTAATGCATATATCTTATTTATGTATGATTTGACATTCTCCGGATCTCGCTGTCTTCGATGCTATTCTCTTGAAACACTTCCAACAAAATTTATATAACTATCTCGCCTAACCATTTAATGCAAAGCATATCCTGACATCCTATGAGGTGGTGAAATGAAAAAACAGCCAAATAATTCAAAGTGTTACTCGAGAGAAAAAGCTTGCCTGGTAATCCATAATGAAGACTGTCGCTGTGTAAATCACCATTAACAGCGATATCGACAGCGCAAACCGCCGAACCGACCTCCGCAACATTTTCTGAAATAATATTCCAAGACTCACAGGAGATAGAATTAGTTATATATACTTGCATGAGTTCTAACAGTAATTTCAGAGAACCTACCGCAGACGAACAATATCCAACCCGTCCTGCCAATGAGATTCCACCAACTCTCATTTCTGGCATGCAGCAAGCAGAAAACAAGCATGGGACTTTTCACGGCCCGATAGATTCAGCGTGCAAACCGGATGTGAACCGAATGAATTTCAGCCCGAACGAAGGAACGTACGTGTTGAACCATTACAAACCAGAAATTGAGGCTTATTTTGTGTGACAATGTCTCGTCATTTCATTGTTGAGAGTTGCTTGACCCCTAGACTCCTTCTTTCTTTTCAAATAATGTGAGTGGTGGTAAGCCTCATGCAAGTCAGATATATAATGGTAGTTGTCTTTTGTTTTCCTGTCTGTCATGTTGAATCCAAAAAGAAATCCTTCTAGAACTGAGGAAGTTCATCACAGTGTATTGATGCATAAACCAATGCTTAACCTCACCTCTTTTCATCAAACGATGATACTTTTATTAAGCAAACTTTTATCTTTTTGTAACTATTGTGACAAAACTGCTGCTTTTTGATCATTTTGTGCCAAATTTCATCCAATTTTGAAAATTAAATTGCTGATCAACATTAGTTCAGGTTGACATAAATTTAATTAGCTTATGAGGCTTTATTATGAACCCACTTTATTGTTCTTTTTGTAGTAAATCATAAATTTCCAGCGGGCAGCTTGTTAGATTATCGTCGTGTAGATGCCAAATGTTATTAAATTAAAAAAAATACAGGAGTAACAGAATATGGCATTGCTGCAAACCGAAACATTTATAATATCACATCGACTGTTGCATAAACAAGCAATTTTTCATATGACAATACTGCCTGAGGCATTTTTATCCATATGCAAGGCAGTAATTCTGTACGAGAATGAAATTTGAGAGGATCAATTCACTGCGAAGTGGGAAGTCTTTTCATGAGCATCTTGTAGCAGAATCCAAAATTTCGTTTCTTCCTCCCACTACATTGTTTTTCAAGCAGTTAAAATTGCAAACTTTGCTATAGGAAATAGAAAAGTTCTAGGTTATATTAGATTGAATCAGAATTTGCCACAGAAGGAACAGTGATCACAAAGGTCACATTAATACTGACAACAAATCACCTCGGCATTATAGCTGAAAACTTACAGAAATCCTCACTATTAATAAATATCTTGAAGCTTTAGAAATAGGAATACATTATTATATCAGTATTCCACTATTTGGCCGTTGCATTAGCCAATAAATCAAACGAAGTATGATTTCGGTATACTAGTTCTGCCGGAGTATAGGCCCAGAGAGGGAATTTGTCCAGCTCGAATAAGTATCTAAAGTTGTTTATTCAATTATTTTTCTGAAATTATTTTAATTATCAGAAAAATCTTTTTAAATTTTATTGTTCTCATGTAAAGATGTATGAAAAAAACTAAAAAAATTCAACTAGGGATGTTAGTTGTAAAGGGTTGATAATGCCTAAGTTAGTAGACATGCTCCACTGCAATTAAAAAGATCGAAGTATCATTTAAAAGTGAAAACTAGTAACGTGCTTTTTTCTGAACTAATGTGAATAATAGACTTACGTTGCCCACGTCATCATGAACAGTATTGCCAATACAGCGCATTCGATAGTAGCCAATGCTCCAACGAACAACTGAAAATACGTCATGTTTTAAGGATCATAATCAAAAATATTATTAGGGAGAAAATTAGTTCGATCGACTTACTATATCGTTGACACGTAACAAGCCAGATGCTAAAACGATTGCATTTGATGGAGTTCCCATCTGAAATAATTTAAAATTTTGAAAAAAGACAAAACAAAATAATCTAAGAATGTTTTAGTGATCATTTCCATATTTGATATCTCAAAACTATTTACAAATTTTTAAATTAGGTGAATGAAACGAACAGGTAAAGTGAAAGCCATTGAAGAGGCAAGAGCGGTAGGAATCATAAAGTAAAATGGATGAATTTCCAGTGATTTTGCCAATTCTCCTACAATAGGAATTAAGATGGATGCCGTTACTGTATTACTGCAAATGTTTGTTAGGAATATGGTGATGAATATGCAAATGGCCATATTGATATTAACTGGGAATATTTTCAATGACTGCATAACTTCTCCAATGCGATAATTCAAGTTCGATTCCTAAAAAAATTCAAATTACCAACATCTTTCTGTGCGGATTAATATTTTTTTCATAAATTGAATAATTCGCCTCTATTCACTTAACCATTTTTTGATAACAAGTTTTCCGGAAAGAAATCATAAGTCTTAAATGCCATCTTAATATTCAAGTATCTGAGAAAATTTGCGAAGATTTTTTTGAGATTTCGCTGTCTATTTATCTCAAACATATCTGCAGTTCTCACTGTTTAAAAATTAGTTGCAACTTTTCGCCGAAGCTTAGAAAATTGGATTTTGCCAATCATGAAGACAATAACTTTACAATTGTTATACAATAGTGTTAAAATAATATGTTCCCGAATCCCAGGAAAGCGAGAAAAATTTTTCTGGTTAAACCATTTCACTACTTGTTAAATTTTTGTTTTTATGGCTATCAGATGTGAAACTGAAGTGAGTTGAGTTTCATAAATTTTTCGGAAGGTTGGATAAATGTTCACTTTCGCTTATTTCTTCTACTAGTGGATATATGTACAAGAACCTCATCTCATAACAGATTACTAAATATCAAACTGTTTAAATTAAGCTTATAAATCAATACTTCTTGGGGAACAAAAGGTTACTAAGTTGAACATGCAGAAATTTGGACGCTTATATATAACTTATCTTAACTTCTCATCAAATAAAGCTCTTCCGAATATTCTTCCGTCAAAAATTAGACGCCCAGAGATATGTGACACCAATTTTCATGTTTGATTATATCCAAAAATATTCGTTCTATGGTATAGGAATATGAGAATTTCCCAATAGTTGCTCCGAGTCAACATTCTGTACCTATGATGAACTTTTAGTTCTATTAATTGAACAAAGAAGCTTGACCCCTGCATTCACTACCTTGACACCAGCGGCCATTGCAAAACCACCTCCCAGTAACAACATAATACTCCATGGAAATTTCTCTTGCATTGTTTTCCAGTCCAGTAGTGTTCCGACATTCTCCGATCTTCCTGAATTATTTTATTTCGAATTTTCATTGCACTTTATATTTTTTCTGCTCAAGTATGATAGAAATAGTTTCAAAAATTATTACCAAAGAAGTTTGGCTTTCCATTCGGGACGGCAAATAATATGATTGCAACCAACATTGCACTCGTTGCATCTGTTACATACCTAAATATTTTTTTTAATTGTAAGAAAATGTTACAAAAAATCTAAGAAAATTATAGTAGATATTTCAGATAGGATATCATGACAAAGTCAGGTTCTTAATCTCTGGTAATATGTAATTTACTTTTCTTGAAAACAGTTCCGAAACCAGGAATAATCTCTCGTTATCCAAAGTGTTAACATTAGCAAGAAGCAAATCGATACACCGATTTCAGCAAATGACAGGCTCGGTAGTTTATCGTACTTTTGTCGCAGTTTACCTTTCATCGTTCTGTGATTTGCATTTATCACATCTTTAAAATTTTATACCTTTCATATATTTTAACTGCTTATTAACAGCAAATTATAGCTTTATATGGTTAACAATCAAATTCAATATCATGGAGGAGTAGAATAAACGAATTTCTTTTAACTCTTTAGGATTTAAAATGAAATGTTTTGTCTTCAGTAAAAAAGGACCTTTCGAAGCTTTCCGAAGGAAAATGAGTACCAATGTCAACCATGTGATAAATAAGCATGCAGTAACAAATGGTACTGCAAAAACCATCCAGGATATAAAATTAATGTCTGTATTTGCGAGAGGGAAAATTCTAAAGCAGTATTTGATAACAACTAGAAGATTAAATATGCTTTAAACCATTCTTTTCAATTAAGAGTTCTATTACGGTACAGAAAGTTACAGTCAGAATGTTAATTTCATAGAAAAAAAGTAGAAGAGCTTTAAGATTGACGGACCGAAAAGGAGAAATTGTGAAAACAGTAACAAACTCTTTAATCTGGCCCATTAGGACAAGATTTGACGCTGTTCCTGTAATTGTTCCTGTTCCACCAATATTTGCGGCAAAAGCAACTGATATCAGCAATCCCTTTGCCAAATGATATTCATCTTTACTTAAAACTTCTCTTGGATCTCTGGAAAGTAAATATTGCTGTATCGAAGTTTTTTAATTGCTTAATTATCACAATGCTGGTTTGAAATAAATTATTTTATTGTATAAATTATCATTAAAAAGTCTTGTAATATAGAATGCACAGTGATAGAATAGCGATGTTCTTCATTGTTCTTTAAACTATTAATCCCAATAGATGATAAAACGTATACCTATCTCCATGCATTTCTTGTGCATACAACTGATTCTAAATGAGTTTGTTACAAAAACATAAAATAAGAACCTGATACTGAAAGCACCGAGAGATTTCCTTCGTTCGTCATTGTTTTCATTATGTCCATCTTCAATTACTGCTTTATCCACTAGATCATCCTATAGAGCTTAAAGTTAAAAGGTGAATAATTTTAAATTACGACACTGAAAATAGATCACTACTACTAATATACGAAATACTTTCAGTTATTTCTTATTAAAGAATAAAACAAAAATTAATTTAAAAATTACTACCACAATTAGCCAAGTATATTATGTCTAACTCGTAGCATCTTAAAAAACAAATATTATATTTTATAAATATGAAATCTTACACCGAACTCATTTCTAGGATTACTTTTTGCAAGCTCGATAATAACAGAATTTGCAATGGGTACCATAAGAGCAGTAGTTGCTGTATTCGATATCCACATACTGCAATTGCTCTTTTTGTTTTTATTTGAAAACCATAAAATCAAACTATTCAGCTTTTCGCCAAGATTTTAAGTATTAGGAAATAGAATTTACCTTAAAAACGCAGTTAATAACATGAAACCGAGCATAATCCTGAAAATAAAATTTCGCTATTAATTTTGCAAAAAGAAAAATTGAAGTTTTTATGAAGGAAAACCATATATTAAACTTTGCAACCATTTCAACTCCATGAATATAATCCCGACATACTTAAATTAAATAAGAAAAAAATTTCAAGTATAATAAAAAATAGTAACAAGCATGGTTGGGGTGGAATAATAGTTAACACGAATAAAGCGACACGATTATGCAATTTGCACTTCTGAACAGCTATCGCTACCATTAATCCACCAATAAATAAAAAACTTATGTCCTGCAAATTACATGAATGCCAACATTTTCAACTGTTATAATGAAGATTTTTTCAAAAAGTTTTTTGCAAAATTAGGAAAGAGTTTAATTTTTGCATATAAACTTTGTGAAATTTCATTATGCTTCGTTTGTTCACAAAAAGAAATGATGATAATGAAGCTTACAGGTAAATACATTTGAGCAACATCATTCGATGCCATTAAACCGAATATTGGATAAAGTACCATCGGTAATAAGGCAGTTACTGCTAATGGTAATACCTCCATAACCCAATAAATAACCATTATACCAATGCAATAACCACATTTTGCTTCTTTCTATAATTGCTGACTATATAAGTAATAATAGTTGTACGGTATCGGATAATAAAATTAACCGCTATATATCTGTTTCCTACAGTATTGGGTTGTAGTATTGGTGACAAGGTAAAAGTTGATACACTAAAACTTTTTTTTGAAATTTCTTGTCTACTTTGTTTTGTGTACATTTTGCAGAATTTTTCAAATCTCGTTAACTTTTTGTAATTTATAAATAATAATTTATTCAGGAATGAAAAATGATATGGTTTAAGTGACGTTATAGGATGCGGAAAGAAAACTTTTACGCCCGTAACAGTGGGTGAATATAATATTCGCCAAGAGATCTATCAGAATATTTGAAAATTTCATACTTCTTACTTTACTCATTTATAAAGTTGTGGAATTTCAAAAATACAAAGCATGAAGTTTGTTAGAAGTTCATACTTGGTTTTGTGGAAACGAAAATAAAATAGGTAACAAAATTATCGGCGTTAATGCAAGTGCCAAATAAGTACGCATTTTCCACATTACGGATAGTGTTGACGTCCTAAAATCTCTTCATAACTAAATAAAAATTCTCAGTACTTTCAGAGACTTGTAATTCATCTTAATTTTTTAGATAATTTTAAATTGGTATAATAAAGTTAACTAGAAAAAATGAAATAAAATGGAAAAATTAAATAACTTACGATTCTGGTTGATGATATCTTATATGCGGCTTTAGCAATGACATCCTTATCGTTAATCTTTGATATCTTTTAAAGATACATCAGAATTATTTAAATTTGAGTGAGTTGAAATTTTTCTATGAATGAATCTCAACAATGGTAGGGAAACTGATTGTTGGAATACTCACAAGAAGAGTATTGTAGAATCATAACGCTTCTATTATTTACGATAAATTCAATTTCCATTAGAAATGGATAAATAGTGACAAGTGAAAGAATAATAGGAACTCCAAGTCAAAGATTTTAATCATTGAAACTAGCAACACCGTGGTACCGTCAATCCGTTGTACCTTCAGATCTTAGATTGACAAATTAAAGAAGACCTTGAAGTACCTTCCCAAAGTACGGAGCAAATTTAATTTATCGATGTGGCTACACTACCATTATGTTGAATTACTTATTGTTAGCTAATAATCTAAGTATTTGACCATTATCAATTCTGCATTACGATAAAAGTGTTCACTTCTAACGCTTGCGCATTAGCAATACCTATGGGATAAATAAGCGTGGGAAGTAAACATTTTCAATAAATATTACTGCTGAATGTTAACTTCTGTTGAAAAAAAATTCACAAATGGGAAAAGAAATCACTAAATAAGTTTTTTCCTGTTGACAACTACTTTTTTGATCGGACTAATATTTATGAATGTTTTTTTGAAATGAATTTTTATAGGAGATATTGCAAGTAAATGATGCTCTATTTGTTCTAAAGTCTTACAACAATTTGAACCGGTTGTTTTCGAAAAACTAGAAATAAAAACAACTAGAAGAAGTGGAACAGTCTTAAAATCTATTTTCTTTCTGTCATGCCAAAATATATAAAACTTAGAATTCAAGTTATTCATATCGTGACATACCCTCACCACTGCTTAATATATCACTACAAACGTGAAAATGTAAAATTGATCAACTCTTAGTGTTTACTTACCCGAAATTGATCGTTTGCACTAATTTGAACTATAATTGAAACTTATTAAGTGTCATAATACCGTATGACTTTTAAAATCACACAAAATTAGAATTTAAAAAATTTAAATTTAATTTTAATTATATTTATATTTGTTGAAATCACTAATTTTTTCCTTTCTTTTTTTATTAAACACTTCTTTGTTGTGAAAAAAAGCTACGCAGAATGCCATTCATAAAAACATTTCTGAAAAAATCTTAAAGGAAAATAAATCGAGACAAGCTGGCAAGCCTATGAAACTTTCGCGTTTAGAAGTAACATCTTGACAATGATCTGTTTTACTTTTTTTTATTCATATTTACTTCAAGATTTTAATCAGTTAACTTTTTTCGATAGCAAAAGTAATAATTTTGTAAGTGTAATGAAAAAGGTTTATAGAATGAGTAGAGTTATTGAAAAGATAACTCTTTCATCAGCCTAATATGAAATGAATAAGTTTATTTAGGTGTGAATTGAAACCATTCTGCTCAATACCTAAATTTGAACTATTAATCAAAAGTTTATAAGTAATTAATTCTATCCATCCTTATTCAATAAAATAAGGCTAAATAAACACTGCAACATCCCGGATTCACGTTCGACAAAAGATATGTAAATCATTAAATACAAATATTGAAATGTGATGATTTCCCAAAGGAAAAAATTCATGTTGTAAATCTTTTGCGTAATTTTGCAAATTGTAGCCATAAAGACGTAGAATCCAGCGGAATCTTGGTAACATAGGAAAATTTAGATACAGGAAGACCGGAGAATTAATAATAAGCAAGAAGATTTAAATGAGGAATGTTTTCGATGGCAGGATGGCAGGCGAGATGTGAAAAATTGTTACCCAATCAACGATGCAGAAAGGTGCCTGTTATTATCACTGTACCCAATTTTCATCAGCACATTCTTATAATAAATTGCTGTTACTGATATTGATTGTTCGAAAGGTACGCGTGGCTTACGGAAATTACAATTACAAAATTAATCAATGAAGATAAGTGGATATTTTTTTCACTCAAAATTCTTCACTAGCGGTTCATAAATCAATGTAGTATCACAAAAATCATTTATATCACTAACTATCAGATTTTGAGATTAAGTTATCTCTTTCCCCGATACATTTCAGTTTGCTTTAGCTTGAATAAGAAGTTTGGTACTGCTGAAAAATCCTGGAAGATACCCGTTTTGTTCGAAAATTACTAGTTGAAGCTATAATAATCGCAAGTTATACAAGTTATCTTTTTCACATCCTCATTTCTGTTACCAACATAAATTACTTTAGCTTTTTTCAATAAATATTTTAGCCACTTACTTTTCGTATGATTATTTCTCATAATAATTATTAAAAATAGCAATACGATCGAGCAATTATAAAATTGTTGAAAAAATATCCCACCAATAGCAATATGAGATTTAGCCTTACTTTTTATTTTGCTTATTTATCAAATTCTTTGAACTATTATGCTAAATTTCATATCAATTATGTTAAATATCATTAAAATAAAGCTGAAATTAGTGACATCTTCTCCCTCCCGCCCCGTCCCCATATATCATGCATTGAACTCAGAATATTCAAATTTTTATTATGTTATGCATAAGAAACATTTTGCCTTTGATTAGCTTTTTTGCAATTAATTTCAAATAGAAACAAATGAAAATATCCTTTATTGAAGTTTGCATTAATACAGGAAATGTAATACAACAATAATAATTTATCATATCAATAAATTGCAGCAGGAAGAAATAGCATACATAATATATTCATGCTGGCCAAGTTTATTAAAAGATTGTAAGAAATGAATAAATGAATAATAGTTATATCTCTTTTATGCAACATACAATTTTACCAACTAATTTTCAAACTCTATTTTTCACTTTGCAAGAATAATGCAAAAGTGATAAATGTAAAAACAAAAAGAATTTTATTAGCTGTTCTAATTTGAATTTAAATTTTTAATGCAGCTTTCGAAATCAAAATTTTGGCTGTCAAATGACTTTGGAAATATGATTAAAAGCAAAAGGAAAGTAAAATGAAATGGTTGAGAATATTAAGCATGAAAGTTGTTAAAAGGATCAAGTTGATTTCGTTTATTAATGATTCATCTATTGCTGAATATCACAGAGGAATACCAGACGAAGTCTCAAAGCTGATTAAGAGCAATAGTTAGCTAGCGAAGCCTAATAAGTGAGCACTTATCAATTAAGATTTTATTTTTAATGTCGTATATCGTCATATAATATTGCGTCATTCTTAAATTTTTTCATGTCAGTATAAAGCGATACTGTTATCACGAAAGTTATCTATTGCAGGAAAAAAATATTCATAATAAATTCATAATAGAAAAAAACTCAAAAAAATCCTTAAAAGTTTTATGATTAATCGTTTCGTCATGCATCCAAAGGTATTGCAACCAAAAGTATCGAGTTAAAAAAAAGTACTCCCTGTCGGAAACCTGATATTGCGCTTTGGAATCATTTCATGTTTTTCATCATTTCGTTTTCTATTGTTAATTTATCAACAAATACAGTTGAGAAAACTTCATTAGTCACCACCACAGAAACATTACACTTCTACCATGACAAGTTGAACTGAAGTTTTACTTTTTTTCTCATTAGGATACTTCACGATACCATAAGGTATGCCATTTATTTGAAATATTTCATAAAAGAATGTACCGAAGCAGTTTAATAATCTACAAGGTGTGCATGTAAACATAAATTGTCCCGCAATATGTCTTTGTGATCCTTCAAGAAAAATGAAATATTCAAATATCGAAACAGCAAAACAGTTTAGAATTTTGATGATATAAATTTTCTCTTGATAATTCAAATACAGTTCAAACATATGAAACTCTCAAAAGTGTTCAAGTTTGCTGTTACCAGTTATTTCACCATTTGTTTCAATCTGCTTGATGGAGTACACGGAGACTACTATTGAATAAAATTGCTTTTATTTTGAATGTAAGATATGCAAAACTTATTACGATAAAGCATAATTTGTTTTAAAAAATGAATTAAAGGTATACTGAAATTCAGATAAAAAGTAAACAGTTTTGCTGAGCAATATCGATAGTTTTCGATCACTATCGATCAGCGATACCAACACCAACTGAGTTTGCTACATTTTACACATTAATTTTATTTGTCTATATTTTGAAGTCATACGATATGCATCAGTTCATAAAACATAAAGCACACTCGAGCTTTATTACCCGGCACATTGAACAGCTTATTATTTCTTAAAATAAATACTTACAACCAATTTAAAGATACTGCTTTGTAATTCCTTAATTGGATCGATTCGTATTGTCTAAGGCTGATACTTACAAAAGTTTATGATGTGATGAAAAAATTCATTACAATAGGATTTTAAGCAATACGTCTATTCTAGCTTATACTGATTGACTTTCCAGTTCTCCATTTCAGATCTTTATTGTTCCATTCTACTCAAGTTAGTAGTGATCTTTATTATGGCGCATTAATCAACTTTATTGTTGTATCCGCGGCAATTAATTTATCAATAAGCAAACAAACTTGAGTTTTATTATTTGGATCACTGAACAGTTCATTAATTCTTAAAACTGATACTTGCATGTAAAAAACGAGCAGAATAGGACAGAGAGTTGGAAAAGTGCCGCAACATTTGGAGGGGGATATACTTAGCACTGATGTCTGGATCATCAATTTCATTAATTCTTATGAAGAACAAAAAAAAAGATCACTTATTTTTTTCAGTTGTTTTGCAAGAAGATCCAAACTGCATTTATAAAAAATGTATTATAAAGCAGTGTCAATCACCGAACCATTGTGTTTTGTAGTTGGTGTAAAATATATTTGAATATGAGACAGGCATTAATTATTCACTATACTATTATTTACGTCCTTAGAGAGTGAAAACGATGGATAGTATGACCCCAATTTACCATTCCCCAACCAGCAATTGACGGAGTTCTCCCAGCAGTATTTGTTGATAAATCAAAAATTAAAAATACCCTAATAGAAATGGCAAACAATCTCAGAGCAAATTATTATGTTTCCCGACAAGAAAAAAAATCTATTACTGACTGTCAGTAAAACTTTAAAAAACAAAAATACAATTATTGATTTTGATGATTTTCTCTTTTAAACATCTGTAAAGCATATATTTAATTTCTTCTATGATCTCTTTTATAAATTTCTCTCAATAAGATTCATGTATCAGTCTGAAAGTAAATTAGTTATACAGCCAGAATAAAAATGAATGATGACGATATCATCATTTCTTCGCCTATGTCATATTTCATCAATTATTTTTTATATTTCCGGTTCTCCGATTTTTTTATCTCAATGATAAAAGTTGTTTTTGGGAAACAATAATGTACGCTTCAAGTTTCAATATCCAAAATTCGTGAAATTCTTAACAACTGCAAAGATGACTTTTTGTTCCTCATCATATCTCCATGTTTGCCAATTTTAATGTATGTGTTTTTTCAATACCTTTCTAAATTTTTTTTGCTAATCAAATGAAACATAAAATCTGCAATTTTGCACTATTAATGCAAGATATGTTTTGCACGCTTAATTTCATTATTAGAAAGCATCATTGCAAATAACAGACCTAAAATTAAGAAACATCACAAAACATTACAATCAACAAAAGCACTAAAATTAAAGCTGATTATTTTTGTTATAATTTGATAAAATTTCTTTAAAAAACTTAGAAGTATTTAACATTTCGTCAAAATCTCTTTGTATAATTAATTTTTTTTCCATTAAACATACATACGACAAATTAAAAATAATTTTTGAACAGTTTGAAAATATAAATGAAACTTTTCGAAAATACTTGAAATTAATTTTAAATAGCAATTAATTACATAAATAAGTTCAGAGTAGCTATTTAAACTATTGCAATTTCAAAAACATAAAGTTTAAAATAATACTATTTAATATGACTGAAAGTAATCAATTCTATTAATGCCTATTTGATGTTATATATGAAAATATTTTTTAAGATGACCAAAGTGAAGTATACAATAAAATGAAGTAAGTAATAAATTTCTATTTAATCTACTTATTTTACAGGTCTAATTGCTAACGATCAATGATTGCAAATTATTGATAATTCATCATTGAAAGACAACATTATAATTGTAACCCGTAGAAATAATTCAAGTTAAGAGCAAGCGATCAGCAAAAATTTTTTTCATTATTTTCTTTTGTCTAATGCAAGTTATTTCAGTGGAATCACATTTCAATTGCGAATTGCAATTCTAAAAATTGCTATGACATAAGCAACTTAACAATACTATGACTTATTAGTAAATGAGAAAGGTGACGACAAAGGAAAAAAAGTAAGAGTAATTGGGATAAACAGTAGTCCATGTAATAATCCAATGACCATTGTAAGCCAAATTGTCTTGAAAAATGTTAAAATGATGTATGCGTTGACCGTATAGAGTACTGTTACTCCAGTGATTGTTGATGCTGCACCCTTAAAATTTAAGTTTTAAAATCATAATCAGAAGAAAATATAGCCTTTCAGATTCTTGAATTGCTTATTTTATGATTTTAATCCGTCTAATTCATTAGTATATTATGGATATAAGATTAAACAGAAACTAAAAACCTGAAAAATAGGCCATCCGAGTGATTCCAGCGCATGAATAACACGTTCTTTTGATGAGCCAGTTGCCGTAACAAATGCATATGTAATATGAGATGATAAATCAACAGCGAAACCAATACTCATAATGATGGAAATCATTGATACAGCATCCAAATTAACACCCCAAAATGTCATATAGCCAAATATACCCGCATTAATTGATATTATGGAAACGATTATTAGAGCACCTGAAATTTGTTTATTTCTGTGTACTTGAATTCAATTCAACAAATGAAACATACAAATTTAATAATTGAATCCTTTTTAAATTTAATGCAAAATTTCCGATCGCATAATTTGCAAATAATAGGAAGCTAAACTTTAGTTTAAAAAATTTTATTAAAGCCTAAAATAGTTTTTGATTTATGATATAAGAACTTACAGGAAGGCAAACTAGGTATTAATGTGACAGCAACTGTAGCCATACAAATTAGTGATATAATGATACTTCGAACCGTCGCTGGGACAATAATAATGTATTGGTCAGCAAATGGAAACGTTTCATGAAATACTTCGATTTTAAATGGCTGCCGATCAGCTATTTCACGCAATTTCTGGGCGGCATTTTTGTGTTGGTTTACACCCACAGTGTTCTGCATTGCTATCTGCAAATTCATTACATCTATAAGAGACCGTTAAAATTTTAATATTCCAATTTCAGGAAATAATAGTTGCAAAATAAAACTGAAATTAAAATTAACAGCATTGTTTTTTTTGTCACTAATCATGAAAGCTGGGAAACTTCAGAAATTTTAAAAGAACCTGAAACCGAAATGCTTGAAAAGTGCCGTTCTCATTATAGTGAATATCTGCTGCCCACTGATTACTTCCGCCAGTATATTTCAACCAACTTAGCAATTTTGTATTCCAAATTCTAAAAACTAATACTATAAGAGTAAATGTTTCAATTTCCTGTTTTGAAACGTTTTTGAAGTTATCAACGCTCAACTGAATTTCAAAGAAAACGATAATTTTTTTCTATGCTAAGGAAGGTAATAAAAATTTCTATGCTAAGGAAGGAAGGTAAATAATAAAAAAAAGCTTGATTTTTTTCATGTTCAAAATTTAAAAATTTCAATTCCAATAAATAAAGCAATAAGTTGTGTATTCAAAAAAGGAACTAGACGTTGAAATTAGAGTTTGTCTATACTCAATAAGTTAGCACAATTGTAAGCTGCCTAACTAACCAACCGTTCCGTATTTTCCAGTTCGGCGTTTACTTCATCAAGATAATTTAAATATTCGAGAAAGAAAAAAATTGTCCCATCTCTACCTAATGTATATTCCGTATTTTCAAATGCTCGTACTATAGCCATCATTTTTTCTCTAAAAAAGTTTTATTACTTTATATATATTTTTTCATTAAAACTTAAATGAAGTAAAGATAACAAAAATATTTTCAAAAAATTTCAAATCATATTCGAGAAAACTTTAAGCAATTATTTTATCAATATTATCATTTTATTAATATTATCAGAGAATTCCCACAATTAATTTCTGCAAATAAAAAAATGATGAAAAATTAGCAAAAATGCTAACATTTATCTGACATCATTGAGTGATTTTCAGAAAATATACTACACGTTGTTGGTAGAAGTCATTGATCGAAATTAAAGATAAATTGCTTAAAATATTTTGGTCATAATTTTAATAATGAGGGGGAAATAGTTAGTTACGATGATTCGATTATAATTTTAAAAATACCTCTGAATAGGATCAGTAAAATTTGGAGGATGTAGGACGGCAACATGAAGCTGAGTACCTCGTACCCAGAAATTTTTCAAATCTGAGAAATAATGAGAACTATAGTGGTCGTTTGTAACCAAATTTTCAGGTTCCAATCCTTCCTGTAATTTCAAATTTAATAAATATTATTTTTTGAATACTTATCACTAAAAAATTATTACCGAATATTTTCTTTAAAATATTACCGAATAATTTAAACATCCGACCACAGCAACAGTAATATACATGCAGTAGAAGATGAAAGTTAAAATAGCACATTCTTTACGTAATATAAACTGAGCATAAATATGACCAAAGAAATACTGTGTACACGTATTTTCTTTCTTTCCGATCGGATGAGTTTTCAAATGAGGTACCGTTGCGATACAAAATCCTGAAAGCTAAATGCAAAATACATCAACAACTTCTATTTAGGTATTTAGAAAATGTAATTTAAGGAGATTTCAACAATGGGTCAAAGTCTACGCCGAGGATCGAAAGCTAATTATAAAAAGTATTTGGAGCTGGACTTTAATTAGTATGGAATGAATCACTTTACGACTTAGTGATTTACATATCAACTATCATTCCAGATCATTTATAACATAATGTGGAGTATTTGTTATCTAATGAAAACTGTACTACTGAAGTATAGTAATAAGTAAAGAAATGTAACCTTTGGTAATAAAATTGTTATCAACATCAACCATTTCTGCTGATTTTTGCTTGCATAGGTCATCGGCAACAGCGATCAAATTAAAAGCTTTAATGGAAGTTTTCAAAAAGGTATCATCTGACTGAGTGCTGATACAAGAGCAATATGATGCATCAGATCCGCTGGAATAAATTCGAAGGAAATTTCAATTGTAATCATGAAAGTCAAGAATAAATTCAATTAGAAAGTAGTACCTGTTAGCTGACGTATATCGCAAATTATCTTTGTGGCCATTCCTTGAATTACAAAATCGAGTACAGTTAATAATTTCTTTTTTTGCATATTGTTCGCTAACTTTATAGAAAAGCAGACAATGACGTTGATTCTTTTCGGCATCACCCATTATGGCAAAAAATGCCATGAAAAATGTGAACTGAATTTTAAATTTTAATTTACTAACGGAGCGATCAATTTAAATTTCTTCGCTATAAAGTACAAAACTTTTTCAATAGAAATTTTCAAAAAAATAGAACTAATTTTAATCGAGTTGGTTCCAACAAATCACTAACTTGATACAAATAACAAAAGATGAATGTAATACATGCATAGCTACAGAAGAGCTGAATGCCCGGTAGTTCGCTAATACAACCAACAGCAAACGATAATATATCGGTGATATTTGTGATCGATATGGTAACCCCAGCATGACCCATCATATCATGCATTCTAAAAGCAAAATTGTTATTTCTGCTTCTTTGCATTTCTATTTTAATTCATCGAAAATACCGATAAACAACTCCACTATCATCGTAACTACTGGTCCCGGTTAGCAATGCATCTCGTGATAGTTACTAATACCCACATTTACTATTTAATGTAATCAATCAATTATGATCTTCTAAATACTTAAGAAAATGATTTGATATGCTTGACAAGTCCCACTCTTTCTATTTCTCTAATGTAGCAAAATTCTTGCATGCGAGCAAGTACCTGAATTAATGTGGAAATGCAAAAATAGTTTAACCTTTTTGATACAGTATCTGTCTGACTCGTTTGATTCCAACAAGCATTCATTACAAACATGTCATCCACTCCAACTGCTATAATTTATTTATTAAAGCCTAAATAGTCTAACCAAAGATTTTTTTTAAGTTTTGAAGATTGCATCGTGCAAGCTTCAGAATTTTCATATCCAAATTGAAATTTATGGGTTTGGTTTATAAATTGAGAGTTGAATGAATTCGTTTAGAAACTTTGGGAGTAACTCAATTTTTCTCTATTCATTAATAATAAGCGATGAATTTGCACCGAATGGCTAACCGATAATAAGGAATGGTATAATTGTGTTGATTACATTGTAAGGTATGCCTACTATCAACGCAAGACCAAAACCACTACATATCGCCAGTAATGTTGTGATAAGACCTAAAGCACATATATAAACTAATTTTCAAACTAAATTAATTTCAATCAAATAGAGATTTCACAACGAAATTGACAAAATACAATTATATAAATATTTGTTTCCTAAATGTATTACGAAGTTTAACTTCGTATGCAATAAATCTTATAGTACCTGCACATGCAACATATGGCTTGCTGCGAATCCAGTCAATTCCTGTTCTTGGTTGTTTCTTAAGCACGTATGAAAATATGGTGGCATAAATTGAAAGTAACGAGAAGCTGGTAAGGAAATTCCAAGTGAAATCTTTTGTATTCTCAGCTAAACCATCCTGCAAAACTAGGGAGTAATTTTTCAAAAAGAAAAGTTAATTCGAATTTCAAACATTCGTTTAATTCTTTTTATTTGATTGATTTAAAATTCTTTTCATGTTAATGAAAGATTGATTTACCTGTAATGAGTGATAATGTGAGAATGAAAATGAGATAATATCACTTTTGTAAACATGCAATAAGTAATATTCAACAGCATATGAGAAAGCGGTTGAGTAGCGGCGAACAATATGCGATTCTTGCTTCAGAAAGTAGAAAAGTTGCGTTAGTTCTGCTGTTTCTATAGTACCATTTGATTCGTTTAAAGTTACACCACTTAACACTGTTCCCATATAAATGGGTGTGTCCGGAAATTTGATTTTATTATTCATCAAAAATTGAAATTTTCAAAAATCTTTTTTAGGCCTTAAAATAAATTTAATGAAAACTAATGTTCAGTGTAACTCATCGTTTCTTCATTATCAAAAGCATTCCCTTAATAAATTGTAGTATGTTCAACTGTGCTTAAAGGAAGCATAAACGTTTCGCTCAAAACTAAAATTGACTTTATGGCAAGTTCACCTTACTGCCAGCTCGAGGATATGTTAATTCCAAAAAAGTGCCAAGTTTCAGACGTTCTTGTAACATTGAAATGTGTTCATTTGCTCCACATACCCATTCATAGCTGAGACATAAATCCTGAATAAATTGAATATCAATGTACTAACTGGTCAGCCGATGGTCGACTGATTTGTTAGTTCAATAGATAAACTTATAGGTTGATTAATTCATGCGATGATTCATATAAAACATATAATGAGTACCAGTGAGTTTCGAATTCTTGTAGATGTAACAGTGCGAATTTACCCGTTATCATTATCTTTATCAGAGCATAGAATGTACTAACTTGATATGTGAGATTATACTTGCCATCAGCAGTTGGTACGGTGATATTGAACATAATCCATTGATTCAACCTTTGTATTTCATCTAATATTTGCCTCTTCAACAAATTGCCACCATCTTTAGCTTTTACCAATATATTTATAAATCGCTTCATTTCAAACGATTTACCCGGCAAAAATTTGTTTTCGTTCAATGGCCATAACGATGCGAACGTATCAAATTCTTGGTGCCATCTGCAACTGATAAACTACCCTTTCTTTTTTTGAAATGGGCCATTTTTAATAAAAGGAATTTATGGTGTCAGTCTATGACTTCCTAATGCCATGTGTAGAATTCCATAATCAAAGTAAAACTGTGGTCATTTAGGTTAAAGTTTGGTTTCATTCTGTCTATCCCATTACAAATATTCCAAGCTCAATATCCATGACACTCTTTCCAGCCAAACGCAACAGAGGCCATAATATTTGTTGTGGTCGATTCCAGCATGTCTTTTATTTCATTAATGAGGAATGAAAGAGAAACTTGATGTTTATTATGTTTCATATCATCAGTCTAATCAGTTCAAAAGGATAGAAGACTATGCAGTAGATCAAGTTTAGTGTGCTACAAAAATGAATTAAAAATAATAATGGAAGGACACGGAAGATTTCTAATATTTTTACCTGGCAAATACCGGAGTGAAAACATAAAAAGGATCATCAACAGTTAAGGCAGTAAGGCGGTAAAAACCAAGCGATAAGAGTGGCGTTATGATCAATGGAGACATGACTAGAAACCATCGCCATTGATAACCAAATTCACCATACCATTGAAAAATTCGACGAAGTTGGGGTTCTACTACTATTATCTTCATCTGTAAATGATATCTTCAGAATTAAGCATATTCGGATGCTTCGTATTTCTTTCTTCTGGTAGATGCATATTTCATCACTATCAGCAGTAATGATTCTCATTTGATAAGAGACAATGCATCTTTGCAGTACTGGGCCTCATTTTGTTTTCCAGTAGGTAAGGTTCTTAATAAGATTAAACCTTAAAAAATATGCAAAACTTGCGTGGATCAGTCCAAATATAAATTTTATTATTCATTAAATACTGATGAGGAAATGACAGAAAGCTGTACAGCATAATATGATGATCAGAACTATACCTTAATCTATCGCTGTCCTTTATTAGAAGAATGGTCAAAAGCTTTAACTTTAAAGAAGTTTCATAAAGTGGGATGAAAATTTTTTCTAAAAGTTAGTGTTAAAAGGGATTAAAATCAAAAAATGTCTTTTTCTTTTATTTTAATGATAGAGTGATATGGATAATCAGTCAGTGAAATTTCAGCCTTTCACAATGATAAAATGAATATAAACCTGAAAATTGATAGGTTAGGACTAAAAAGTAAAAGAAAATTTTTGATTTTTTTCAAACTTTTTTCTCTAATAATTGAAATTTCATAAATTTTAAAAGTTTAACTCAAAATTTTATCAATAAATTAATCTGATCTTTTAGTAATGATTAATTTCTAATAATGATTTTCAATCGATAAATGTTATTTATAGTCCATTACACCAGCAGAAATTGTAAACAAAAACTTTCATTTTCATCGCTGACCATTAGATGTGTCATCTATAAATGTGCAAACTGAATTAATTGAAGTATGCGAATTGTTAAATATTGAAATTATAATTTATTCTTTATATTAAGCCCAATTTCCTGTAGAACTAAAATGGAATATCATAATTGGGAATGCAATAACTGAGAATTTCGAAGAATAAAATGACATATCTCCAAGAAATTTTAGCGAACCGAAGAAGACATCATTATGAGTGGGTTCTTATTAATTCCACCCAACCCAGGCACACAGTCTAACAAACAAATGAACCCTTTCCGAAAGATTGACAAATAACCTTTAATATCATAAGTCATACTAGAATTAGAATCAATGGATTCTTAATAACTGAATGCTAGTGATTTATTCACTGCTCTGTAAATTCCATCAAGATTAAAGTGTAGGTAAAGAGATCATATTTAACATGATTCAGTTTAAAATTTGGAAGTTGAAACTGTCGCTAAAAAAAACTGTTGCGGTAAAATTTCTACAATAATCATAAATAATTAAATGATTGATAAAGTTAAAAAAAGAACGCAATTTTCAAATAGAACATGGGTGAATTGGTTAGAAGATTTTAAAGATGTGGAGGTGAAGAGGAGGGATAATATTAGGGTTGGGGGAGGGGGAGGATAGTACAAAGGTGGCTGTATTGTGAATTAATGATGGTGTATGAAAGTGGGTCGATTGCAAAAATGGAAGAGGATGAGGATATCCTTACATTAGGTAAAACGGTGATGCGGAAGTGATTAATTCAATAAAAGGTATACAAAAATGTAAAAAAAAAGTGCTTATTCTTCTTCATATATCTATTGATCCGTTCACTGATATCTATTATTACATCGCTAATAATTGAAGTATAAATTAACCTTTTTCTGATTCCATATGATTTCGGATTTCGTGTTGCCGAACTCTCGAATAACAAAAACGAATTAGTTGAAAATTTTCTCCTTTCAGAATTTTCTCCTTTCAGAATTTTTTTACAAAATGAATGGATAAGTCACTATCAATCTGATTGAAATCGATTCACGTTAGATAAAGTTTGACTCATAATTTAAGATTGGGACCTTAATTAGGACCACTTCATGGCTTAAAAATGGTTGCAATGATCGGAATAAGACACACCTAAAAGGTTAATATATGCTCTTCACTTTTATAACGATGGAATATCAATGAATCGAATAGAGGTAAAACTGAAATCCACTTACTAATATTTCCATGATTAGTTCCAAATTTCGTATCCCCCCGTTTGCTTGTTCCCTTGGATTTTCCATCGTATGTTTGGAATAATCAGAACTCAAATCTTCCGGAATTTGAGATGGAAAAAAAATGACATTGAGGAAAAATTTCTTTTTTTGCAGAATACGGAAAACAATTGTAGTGTAGTAAAATTGTGAATCATCCGTTTTCAACTGCTTAAGTTAAATGGTTTTGTTAGGCATTTTATGGAGGTTAAACCGATGATGAACTAAATCCTATTCTACAAAATGAAGAAGCAGATGTAGATTAGACTAAGATTTTGGTAAATATCTTCTAATAAATATTTTCATGAGATTTTCGATTAACTCGGCATCCTAATTGCAGAATCAACAATAGCATTTTCTTTAGGAAAATGATTTTTAGAAGAGATCATCTTTTAAAATCATAAAACTATGACCATACAATTGAAAATGCTTTTCGGCACTCATTTTTTCTTCGAATTCCTTGACGAACTGCTATATATCTTACAAAATTAATTAATATAATATGAAAAAATAAACAGGTTCCGAACAAATGTTTCTCTCTCTCTCTCCCTTTCTCTCAATGTTGACATCTTCCCTTTTTCATCAAAACAAATTTCATTCCTAACTATCATTTATAAATAAAATTGTTAACTATCACTTCATTTCGCATAACTTCAAGAAAAAGTTCTTGCCGGAATGATATAATAATCTTCTTCATCTTTCGTTTCTGCTTATCATATTATTCACAAGCTTATTTCAAATAATTTTTATATAAGCATTAGTGAAATCTCTTTTGGAATCTTATGAAACATTCCAATTTAGGTATTCATATTATTTTAATAACGAAGTCACGGAAAATAAAGTTTTCATTTAATATTTTCTGTGACGTTATTGAAAATTAAATGGATTTATAATAAGAAACAATATGTGATATTATGTTTTATAATGAAAATTAGATAAAACTGAAATAGCGTTTTCTAGTTCTACAAAGATTATGAGACGATAAAAAAGATAAAGTCAATCAGGATATAAATATGATTACCACCATTAAATTTCAACTATTTATATCTATAAAAAGACCAGTCTAGGACAATAATATGATTTGGTTTCAATAACAAATAGATATGATATGAACGATAACAGTAATAATATCAGTTGTACATATTCAACAAATTTTCTTATTCAAAAAAAAAAAATAATTTTTTTGTTTCTAAACATAATTCGTCATGGTTCGTTATTGGTAAAATCAGCCAAAGTGGTACTATGAACGTGTTGTTTAGCACATTAGTACATAATGAATACATAATGAATGGTCATTTACTGTTGAAGTGACCAAATTAATTAGCCTAAAAATTGTAAAAGAAAAATGAGATGGAGCGAAAAATGAATGAATATTTTCCTGTATAAGTGCTTGTAAGCAAAAAATGAGGTAGATAGCAAAGAAATGGTAATGGAGATAAGTCTGAAAGCGAAATTTCGGACATGACAACTCGAAATCGGGTCATCGTTGGACAGATATGTGGAGGAAGGGGTTGGATTAACATACATAAGTAAACGATTGAGCATTCATTTTTCACGCAATGCATCCCCCGGTTAAAACGAATATAACCGTCCAAAAATATAGCTGGTCTGAGAGTTCTTTGTGTTACTATCAATGCCAATCTTTATCATCCCTTTTTCAATTGTTCTATTATTTATCGGTTTGTATTCAACCGCGATAACATCCGTTATTAGATGTAAAACAATGCCTTACTGATTCGTAAATCCTAATTTTTATTTAAAAGCTTTAGAACTTCTATCCTAAACATTTGATAAACCTTACGTTGTTGTTATTTAGTTATTTAAATCCATAACATTTGTTTTTTCTCCATCATTGATCTCCCTCATCCTCACTATTGATGCCAAAAGTCTTATTCGAAATAGCTGTTTGATTGATATCTGTTCTATTGTAATAAAACAATGAAAAGAAAATATTGAAACTGAAAGAAATGAAATGAAAGAAATGAGTCTTTATTATGGTAAAGAATACAAATTGAAAATTATATATCTGAAATAATCAGTTATTAAGTTGCTGCAAAATTTATGCAAAATTCTAACATAAACTAACAACGATTAATTTGTCACAGAATAATGCAGAAATTTAATAGATTGAAGGAAATGTTGGACAATTACTACAGGTCAAACATGTATTACATCCGTGCAAACTTCTATCGTCAACTTTTTGGTACCCAGGCAAACATTCGCATTTGATTGAGGCTGGCAAATTTATACACACTGTCTCAGAAAGACAACCGCCAAGCTGAAATAATATACGATACTAATCTATGCTTTCATACTTTTTAAAAATATTAGCAAATAAGGCAAAAATTGAAAATCGTAGATTAAATTTATTTTCTGACTAAACAGATTTCGCATACTCGCTTTCTCTCTCTATCTCTCTCTATTTTTTCCTTTTTCTTCCCACTAAAGTTAAATTATATGAAAACCTGTTCATGAGCAATTTATCCTATACGCATTTAACAACATCATGGCATATTGTCCCATTTTCAAAAAAACCCTACAAATTAAATACAATAATTTCTAATTTCAAACTGACCAATCTTACGATGATTTTTTTTAAATTATATCCTTCAAAAATGAGAGGCAAAATAATGATGAGGAGACAGCTTTGCATCTGTATTCCGCTTCATAACTGCCGTTGTTGCAAATGGTATTCGGATCACCGGATTAGCATGTTCACAAGTCGATGTTAATACATTCTGGTCAGCATTGGTTAGATAGAATTGCTTGCTCATCACAATCTAAGTTCACACATCTGTCTGACTGTCTGAAATTGATAAAAGAAGTCTTTCAGTTTACTATGATAAGAAATTCATCGTCATCTTATATCTGACTAATTTATTAAAGATTATTCTCTGTCAGATATGGGCATCATTTTAGTTTAAATGATCTTCCTAAGATCTTCACATTGGATAGATCGAAATTATGAAAATAAGTTTATGTTTTTTCATATTTCTCAAAAGTATTAAC